ATATGCTGCATTCATTATTCGTTATTGACTAAAAATTTCCATTTATTTAACTCACATTCATTAAAATGTATGTTTATTAAATATTCATTAAAATATATTATACTGCATTCATAATTATCCATTCAAAATTCTTCGTTAAAATTTCATTAAAAATTGAAACGATGTGTTTTCTCTGTCTCCGCGTCATTCTTTTTTTTTCTCACAGAACTTTCTTGATTACTCAACATCTCACACTTTTCAGTTAGCATTGCAATCGCGCAACATCTACGCGTTATTTCACGTTAGCTGGCCCTTAACAAATTAAATAAACTTGTCGGTCAAGTTGGATGACATTTCATTCAGTTGTACAGAGTTTACGACATAGAGTGCTCAAGCGTGATATACACAGTATTGTATATATCCCGTGTACAAGCGTAATCTTGTCGCAATGCGTAAGAAATTGGAGAAGCAACGGATAATGGTAATGGCCACAGTCGGGCAGATCAATTTTTCGGATTTCTTTTTCTCGCGTAAGCATTTTCGCAATCAATCGTCACGTAAGCGATCGATGACGCGGTTTTGTAAAATCAACGTGTACCTTCTTTCGTCACACTTTCTCAGACACTGTGTTCCATTCATGTTATCAACGCTATTAATTCGTTAGCCTCGACTAACTAAACATAAGCGTATGTATATATATATATATATATATTTATCAAGTGAGTATTCGTTGCAAAAGAAACGTCGTTTTGTTTTCCGCTTCTCTTTTACAAATCTAGTATATACATACATGTATTTCGTCACGTCTTAATGGTCTGAGAAAATGGAAGTAAAAGTAAGAGTTTCGTAATGTTATGTATGTGTGCCATGAGCGAAAGAATGCAATTATTTTGGGAGGAACTATTTTTAAAATTATAAGTCCCGCTGGAGGGATCGAGGCACTCGAGTGTCCATGCAGGTATGTAAATAGGACAGCCTTGAATTTTAAGCAGACCAGAACGTCAGAGCCAGAATGCCATTTCGGCTCAGAAAGGAAAGAAATTTTTCGGATGTTTCGACTCTTCTCCGCGTGTCTGATTTAACCCGGGCAGTTACGGAATTTCTGTTTTTCATCGTGTCTGTTAATGGTTCATGAAAAATCGTGGTGGTTTTATGCAAATGGTTCAGAGAATATAGCAAACAGAGAAAATAAACAGAACCTCGACTGAAAATTTGTATCGATGCGTTATACTTTGGTGCTGTCTTAAATAGTATATCTTATATGTAAACAGAATCAACGATGAATGAAATGAGAAAGACTTTTATTCTTGAAAAATTGTAAAATTTTTCGCCTCTGGAATCGCTTTTTTAATGACTAAACTAAGTGAAACTAAATATTTTTATGACTGTAATAATAGACCATCAAGAAATTGAAATCTCTTTATAACGAGTGCTTAAAACTTGCTACACGATTTCCGCTTTTCATTGAATTTTAAATATTACAGTTAAATGAGAAAAATTCAAGAAGCTTTTTTAACCGTAATATTCAATAAATGAATAAATAGACTTCAATTATAAAATCTGGATCTGGTTCAGAAAATAAATTGAATTTTTTCAAGCTTTGGGATATTCGAATTTTTATTGAATTTTATTGAACTTTGAACGATATAAATTCGAGAAATATTCATGTCTCATCCGCGAAATAGTCAAAATAAATTGGAATATTCATAAGCAGGATATCTTGTTTAAAACCAGAAAAACATTGACCAAGTCAAAGAGGAAGAGAGGAACATAAAGAGGAAACGGAGGAAATGAAGATAAATGAAGATAAATGAAAATAAATGAAAATAAAAATGAAAATAAAGAGAAGAAGAAGCTGAAGAGAAAGAAGAGGAGAGAGTGATAAAGATGAAAAGAGGGTAATAAAAATGGAAAAGGAGACGTTGGCAAAGATGGGAAGAGTAGAAAAGGGTGGAAAAGATAAATTAGAAAGGGAGAAGAGAGTAATAAAGATGGATGGAAAGGAAGGAAGGCTAAGAAAATAAAGAGAAAGAAGAGGAGAGCATCTTCGACAGTGTTCAATTCTTTCTTTTTTCTTTTTTACTGATTGAATATTAATCTCATCGTTCGAAAGATTCCTTTTTAGATGATCTTCCGTTTATCCAAGGGGTTAAAATGTTGTTCTTTCTCGATCTTCGATGCAACTTTCCGAGAGATGGGTGCAAGTTTTTCTATAGTTTCTCTTATAGTTTCAGATAATGTGAATTTACAACCGTGCTCTCTCTATGTGTGTGTCTGTGTGTTTCTTAATTTGGCGTATAAATATTCAAACTCTCGTGTGTCTCTCTGTCGAGAAAAATGTCGATGTTCCACCGAAATTTCTAAAAGTGGAAATTTATCTTCTACCAGGATAGAATAGGTTAACAGGTCGTTCGAGAAACAGTACAATTTCTCACGTTGGACGGCGATGGAAGTTGAGGAATGCAGATGAAGCCTTTGTTTCATTAGAAGATAGATGATACTGCGTAGAAGTGTTAGACCACCTACGTTGCTGATTTACTAGGTCATAGCTATGACTCACAAGTATTAGAACACCTACTCGTTAGACATTTGTTGAAAAACTTTCATAAACTTCGGTTCATTTAGCACGTGGTTCGTGTTACAACAGTGAGATAACAGATTCGATTTGTAAGGAATAAGTTCTATCAACTATCTAAAACAATTCTCTATTACTTCACCGTTTGTTATTGCAAAAAAATAATAATTGATGGCAAAATCATTACTTAAAAAAAATTGCAACCTAATTTTATATTTCTCAGATAGTACAAAATTATGTGATATTGGAAAATTTGCTGCTTTTATTTTCCAATTATTTTACTATTAATCTGTTGTATCACTATAATATAAAATGCTAGTTTATTAATACTACGTTCCACATTAAATCATTAAAAAAAATATTTATATATATAAAAGTTAAAAAAAATTAAAGTCACATACCATGCAAAAATGATTTTCATTTCTTCCCCATTAAAAGAAATAACCAAAAGTGTTCGAAAAAGAAAAATCAATGTAAAAATCAGTAATTTCACTAATACTCTAATAACATCAAGTATGTACTCGTCTCTAAAACTAGAACGATCACGATGACAAATGATTTCCGTACGATGCCGCGGCAAGTATAGTGAGAACGACTTGCTATACATCTCCTATCGTCGAGAGCATTCCTTTCCTTCTGTAAAATGATCTAGCGACGACGGCCAGTGCACGAAGGAGATGGAAAGGGAAAGTACGCGATGTTTCGCAAACCGGAACTTTTTCTATCGATTATTTAATCGTTATACTTGCGACCTTACGGACTTTCTATGAACGACAGCGCGATTATTCGGATTCCCGCGATTATTCGTTCAGACACCTTCTGTACTATTTCCTCGTTAGCCAGGAGTTACGTTTCGCGTTCACGCTTTACACTTTAATACGGCCTTTGGCTCTCGTATGCTCTGTTTCATCTCGTTTTCTTTTCTTTCTCTGTCTGTGCTTCACTTTCTTGCTGTCTTTTCCGCGAGGCCATTCAGTCAAACGCGAAATCGTTTCGTTAACTCTACTTTGAAGCAAGGACAACGAAGAAACGGGCAACGAGTTATGTTCAATGTATTTATCATCTCGCTGAGAAAATCGTTCGCTTTGTTCGCCTAGAGCAGAGGAGGGCTCCTCAAAACTTTTCCCTTTTTTTCACCCGAGCAAATATTTCCGCGACTCTGAATATGCAATAATAAATCATACAGAAAGTTTTATTTGAAAACGATTCTTTGGTACCAAATCTTTGGAATTAATTTTCGAGTCGTTGCGTGTCTGCGGATTTTTTTGCTAAAATTTCTGCGACCCCCAAATTTAGTTACGCGACCTCTTTCGAGAAACCCTGGCCTAGAGTGTAAATCAGTACAGTTTGAGAATATTTCTAGCGAACGGAGGCGTCAAGATCCCCTCCTTTGCGACAGGCTGTCGTCGGTTTTCTTGCTCTTTACCTAATACTCGCGAAATTTTTCAGTGTTTCAATATTGAATTTTCGTCTGGCTCTTTATGTATGAGGGTGTTTGGCACTTGTATTAAAATATTGCCACTGAGCAAATATACTTTTAGAAATCGACTGGGATGATAAGTATGTAATATTCAGTGATGCGCGTTGTCACTTGTATTCATATTTTAATTATTATTGTTGTTTATTTTGCTACTATCTTATTATTATATAGAATTTTTCAAGTCATTCAAGATAATGTAAAGCGATATCATTACTTGGGAATGTGATACTCAATTATATTTACTATCATTTGTATGAGATCATACATATGTATTTTATTCCAAGATATTATTATTATTATTATTATTATTATCATTCGTGTGTATTTTATATGATGTTATGTAGTTTTCAAGCCCTTCAAAATATAAAACGATATCATTAATCAGCGACATCATATTCAATAGCAACGATACACACCATCATTCGAGATCATATGTATTTTACTCCCAGATATTATCATTATTCGTGTATCTTCAAATCCTTCATATAATATTTTAGTCGAGTCTATTTTATCACATTTCAGTCGAGTTAGTCTGCTTTACTATTATCATATTATTATACATTTCCATATGTTATTATATACTTTCCAAATCTTTCAAGATACTCTGAAACAATATTATATTATACAACTACTCAGGAACATTATACATAATAATATAGAGAGAGTGTTTATAAATTGATCATATTATTATCATGATAATAAATATTCGACTTTCATCACTTAAATAACACGTAGTATTTGCAATCTGTGTTCCACAGAGTCACTTATAACACGTAAACATATGCGTTTCTGAATTCATTCGAAAATTACAATTATGCGTGTATCTATTTTGAAACAAGGGGAATATTACTGTGCGAGTTGTTTTCGATTTTTATTTATTTCGTCGTGGATCCCGTATATTTCGTTCGACTTCATTATCACTTATTATATTCCTATATATTGCTAATATTTCACTGGAAAACTCACCCCAATATCCTGCCAGCGTCCGGACTCCTGTAGAAGTCGCATCTGTGCAAAGGCCTCCTGGGATCATCGTCGTACCTTTGTCCAGCTGCTTGACACAGCGCGCGATACAGTTGGAACTGGAGGACCCCTGCCACGAAATTCCTGTGAAATATGAGAGAAAGTGAAATTAAAACTTCGCCGCGAATTTCCCCGTAACGAGTTTCATCAGTTATATCATATCTCGTCCACACCAATTATATTCCAGGGAAAATATCCCTCTTTCACTGACAGATTCACAGTGCAACGAGACGCAAAGTAAAGCAACAATAATAACAATCGAATGATAATGACAATGGATATTCTGAAACAAGAAAGAAACGAAGCGATGGATCGTTTAATTGACGACCAGCGTTTAACGACCTCAACCGTGGTGACTTTTTGACAACCGTGAGGGAACGTCTTCCTCAAGGTCAGTGTCAACGTGGTCGATTCGCCATTTAGAATTCATTCCAACGAATCGTATACACAGGAGGTCGTGCTTGTTCATCCTCATGCGGATAGATCTCTCTCGGAGTATTATAGCAAGGTGGATAAAAGAGAGGAAAGAAGAAGATCGACAGTGAGAGAAAGAGAGAAAGAGGAGCTCGTTTCACCGAGACTCTTCATCGACAACGACCTTTACGTAACAAACGCGGGGACTATCCTTCGCAGATTGTTGTTACACTCTCGTTCCTCTACTTTCCATCGAACAGAGTCTGGACGTCGTAGCCGGCGACGAGGAAACCGTTGCGACCGCGATCGCGAAAGTGAGGAATGTCGCCTGGCCGATCTTTCACTGGAGCGTCGATCGATCGGTTTCGTAACGAATCCGTAATTAGACTGTGGTTTTCGGTTGTCTGATTTTCGGTTGTCTCACTTTCGCGTGACAAATCCCCACCACTCTCGTACGATTCGTTCCAGTTGTTTTTCATTATTCCTTTCCTTCGTCGATGATTTGTTAACAAACAAATTTCTGGTAGAAGCGAGAAGTTGGCGATAAAATTGAACAGTTGAAAAATTTAGCATTACAGTGATCACTGTTGCAAAAAAAAAAAAAAAAATATTTCTTCTAAATCACTGAAAAAAAAAACTGTAATTCTAGATTTTATAAAAAGAAAATTTTAATTATCTTTCTTCAAAGAGAATTTCTAGATTTTATAAAGAGAATTATCTATCACACAATTGTGTAAATATCACTGCGCACTTTCGATCATTTGTTCTTTAATTCGTTTGTTGTTACAAATCTTGGTGGATAATTTAATATGCAGAAAATGCTATTTGCCGAATCATTGATGAAATTGTGTCTTTCAGAAAAAATTGTAAAAATTTTTAAAAATTTTGTAAAAATTTTTCTCTCTCATATAACGAGTTCCAATGATTTATATAAATCACTTTTCAATGTCCGCCTTCGAATCACTGTATTCCTTAAATTTATTTAATTTGATAAATTCTGGCACAGAGAAATTCACATGGCGGAAAAATACTGAACGATACTCTTTCTCCAATTCACGGATAAAATGATAGTGATTGTCGAAGAGTCACGAAATATTTTATCTGTTATTGATGCAATCACACGACAGATTCTATTAATTTATGTTACTGCCCGCCTTCGTTCTGTCTCTTCATTATAGATGCGAGCAGGCGTGTATCAATCTGAATAATCAGGTGACAAGGATAACGGAGAACCGATGCCAAACGGATGATCCTAATCTCGAATTCTATGTAATGTAGTACAAACAATATATCGATTTTCCACCGAATCACGAAGGTTAAGTTATCCTTGAAATTCAAGGTTCCCCTGAAAGTTTCTTGTAATCGAATTTTGATCGTTGTTATTCAACACATTAAGTAGAGTGTGAACGAAAAGAAAAAAAAAAATTTGTGGCGACCACCGTAATTGTTATATTCGAGCGTGCCCAAAAAAGGTGAAATTGAACGAGAGAGAAAAGCCCGTCCGACTCGATTACGTAGTAACGAGAACTTCCTTTTACTGATCAACCTTTGAGTTTCGCCTGTGTGATTACCACGGGATGAAAAATCGAAGCTCCTATCTTCGATGCAAGGGGAACAGGTAATAATATTTCAAGAAGGAGGACGTACACGCTGTGAACGGTAGAGCTCGTGATTCATAATATCGCTACCGTTTAAAAATTTCTCCAATATTCGAAATTCGTTCAATAATTAAGTCCAAGGAGAGGAAACCTTCATCTTCGAACGCCAGGGCTCGTGATTTACAAATCGCTGCCTAAGTGAAATTTCTTTGACACTCCAAATTTCGTAGATCGATTCGATTACGACTTTCATCGATATTCAGAATTTCGACAGATCGTTTAATATTCGTATACTGCTTCGGGGAAATCGATTCTCAATTGTAAATTTTGCAGATCGTTCGAAATTCACAGATCGCTCCGCTGTTTTAAAATTCTAAGTCAGTAAATTTTGTTTTATGTTCAAAATTGTTCAAAATACATAGGTCACCTCATTGTTTCTTTTAAGAAAGTTCTAAATTTCTCAATTTTGTTTTATATTCAAAATTTCGTAGGTCGTTCAAAATTTAGTGCGTCGATATACAGAATTTAATAGATCAAAATTGATAAAACTATTATTCTCGATTCTAAATTATTTCGATATTCAAAGTTTCGTAGATCAGAAAATTCTAAATTTTTCCGACGCTCGAAATTTCGTTGATCGTTCGAGATTCGTAAATGGATTTTCTGCGACAATTGAAATCTCGTAAATATCTCGAAATTCGTGGAGATGCTAGAGGGGAATATACTTGAATTTTCTCCGATGTTCAAAATCCAATGATCACCGAGAACATTGATCTCTGGTATTTCAACCTAACGTTAGATAACAATTCGCGTGGCGCCAAATGGGCCCGACTTTCAAATCCTGTTCGCTGCTCGGGCAGCTTCTTTCGTAAAGATTCGTTCGAACATCTTTTTTTTCCCCTTTACAAGAAAATGATGTCTCGCTTGCTCAATATCCCTATATCGAAGAAGCAACTTGATTCGATACGCGTGATTTATTTCGAACGTCAATGTTGCCTGTACGCGATATCCTTTACAAATAAAACCAGTTCTCGATCTCTGCTGCCCACATTTCGACCATCAGTTTTCCCTCGATCGAGTACAAACTGTTCGCACAGTAATGGCATGCATCTTGTTACACATACACAAACTGTCTGTTACATAACGATCTAACGATCTCGCGAGTGGTCACTATAAACATCGATCGTACGTTATACATTTCTAATGAGTATCGTGCGAGTAGGCGTACCGCGTTGTCTCTCTCTCTGTACACTACCGATCAAAAATTTCGTGAGAAGAGAATTTGGAATTTGGTGTGAAAAAGATTTGTTCTTGTTCAATCAGAAGACAAATTGATTTATATTTCTCATCTTATTTAATTTTATTACATTTAATTCTCCAGAAGTGGAAGGTACGAATAACAGTGAATTTTAAAGTAAATTTAAGAAAAATAGTACGAGAACTTTAAAAACAGTTTGCATAGTCGATTTTGTATTTTACGACTTTTAATTCATGATGTTGGACAATATGGGTTCTAAATAATTCACATATGGAATTATAAATGGTAACGAAAAGTTAATTGTTTAACGAAGACATTTGCTTGGAATTGTTATACTCTCTTGGCGTAATAATTGTAATAATTTTCAATTGAAAAGTCTCTGATGAACCTTACTAGAGAGTTAACTTTCTCCGATAAATAAAAAAAAGAAACATATTACTCAAAGTTATTTCAAACTCACACGCGCGATAAATTACGTTGCGTTCAATCTCGTACTCTTTCACAAATCGCCCACTACCAGAAACGATTCGCAAATCATAACGAAAACGTTGCTTTCAACCTTACTTTCCTTCACGACGAATAACAAATCCAAAACTGCTGAATATCACTCACAGCGAGTTGTATCATTTCTAACTTCCATTCTCTTTCGTAACCGATTTGGAAACGATTTCGAAACTGTTAAAGACTGTCAATAATCAGAAAAGACCAGGATAGACCAGAAATCGTTACCTTGGTCTCCGGTGTTCCTCGAACGTGGAGAAACAGATCAGTGGAAAACGGTGGCGCTCAAACTTTTGCGCGATAATGTATAGGCGCAGAAGAAAACGGAACCGGGGCCAGGCAAGAAAAGGAGAGGGAAATCGTGACGTAGAGCCGCGTGTCTCATGAAAGGGAGTAATAGTTGCACCCACGAGATTGGCAGCGGATAAATCCTTACGGGTGAGCACCTACGGCTTGGTGTACACGTAACCGTCGAGGTTGCTGTCGAGAGAGGAAGGACGAAAACGGAACGGTACAACAGGGAGAAAGGGAAGAGGAGTTCGAGCGTGTTACGCTGATTTGATTACACCGCCGATCTCCACGTCCGGTTGAAAAAGAGACTAAATATTCGTAATTGGAATCGAACCAGTTGCAAATATAATAAAACATGGTAAATATTGTAAAAATACATTTTTTCGTGCACTGTTAATTATGTATAAATACGTGCCATTTCTAACCTAATCGTCGGTTGTTTGTGGGACACGTAGAAGCACATAAAGTAGTAAAATTAGTAGTATAATAGAATAAAAATAGTAAATTAATGTTTGACAATTGAGATGTTTGGTGATACAAATAAATGTGATAAAATTGAAAACGTCCGGTTGAAAAGGAGAGTAAATATTTGTAATTGGAATCGAACCACTTGCAAACATAATAAAACATGGTAAATATTGTAAAAATACATTTTTTCGTGCACTGTTAATTATGTATAAATACGTGCCATTTCTAACCCAATCGTCGGTTGTTTGTGGGACACGTAGAAGCACATAAAGTAGTAAAATTAGTAGTATAATGGAATAAAAATAGTAAATTAATGTTTGACAATTGAGATGTTTGGTGATACAAATAAATGTGATAAAATTGAAAACGTCCGGTTGAAAAGGAGAGTAAATATTTGTAATTGGAATCGAACCACTTGCAAACATAATAAAACATGGTAAATATTGTAAAAATACATTTTTTCGTGCACTGTTAATTATGTATAAATACGTGCCATTTCTAACCCAATCGTCGGTTGTTTGTGGGACACGTAGAAGCACATAAAGTAGTAAAATTAGTAGTATAATGGAATAAAAATAGTAAATTAATGTTTGACAATTGAGATGTTTGATGATACAAATAAATGTGATGAAATTGAAAACGTCCGGTTGGAAGAGAGACTAAATATTTGTAATTGGAATCGAACTACTTGCAAACATAATAAAACATGGTAAATATTGTAAAAATACATTTTTTCATGTTAATTATGTATAAATACGTGCCATTTCTAACCCAATCGTCGGTTGTTTGTGGAACACGTAGAAGCACATAAAGTAAAGCTAGTAGTATAATGGAATAAAAATAGTAAATTAATGTTTGACAATTGAGATGTTTAGTGATACAAATAAACGTGATAAAATTGAAAACGTCCGGTTGAAAAGGAGAGTAAATATTTGTAATTGGAATCGAACCACTTGCAAACATAATAAAACATGGTAAATATTGTAAAAATACATTTTTTCGTGCACTGTTAATTATATATAAGTACGTGTCATTTCTAACCCAATCGTCGGTTGTTTGTGGGACACGTAGAAGCACATAAAGTAGTAAAGTTAGTAGTATAATGGAATAAAAATAGTAAATTAATGTTTGACAGTAGACAATTGTTTGGTGATACAAATAAGTGTGATGAAATTCCAAAAGAAAACAATTGAAAATACACGAGGTGCGTGGTAGCATTCGAATAACGTTGATCAAAATAGAATCCTTTGTGTTTCACGTCTCATCGATCCAACACGTTCTGCAGAGGACAGGGATAAAGTTGAGGTTTAAAACATACACTGTACAAGTAGTCGGACAATTGGTGTGTTTCGATTAAAAAAATTAGTTCTCAACTTTCGCAATATAACGTGAAGAATGTTTCTCCGTCTTTAATCTGTTACTTGTCGCAACAATTAAGTTACGAATAATCTGATAAATTGAAAGTGACATTATATATCTGTGTTGTACAAGGTCGTATATTTTACTTCAACGAATACTTGATATTCCATGAAATTTATTAACACTTTTAGAACGTGACCCAGAATCCGATATGAAACAGATGCATTTAAAATTACTTAGATATCTCGTTCACCTTTGATTATTCTCTTTTAAATTTATCTTCTTTTATTTATTATTCTCTTTAAATTTATCTTCTTTTCTATCAACATCCTTTTGCAACACGACTGATGTGTTTGAATTACTTCACTTCTGTTTGAATCATACGTAGTTAGTATTAGATCGGAGATAAAAATTAAATCAAAATAAAATGATGAGGGTCTCATTTGAGGCACGTTTCTAATAATTGTATATATAACTATTAACTGAGACTATCAGAGACGCCGGACTGCGAATTACACGCAGCTGGAAATTGTAGCGAAGCTGCAGAGAAAGGACCGATGCAACGTGACAGGGAGATTTTTGTGTATGGGGCACGGGGTACGTTACGTCAGAGCGAACGTTACGTGAAAAGTTTCCTTTTACGTTACTCTTTTGAATGTAAATGACGCTAATGAAGTAATTAAAGCTTCATAGGGAAAGAGAAGTGTATTAATTGAGAAGTAATTTTTTTTCTCAATTGAAAGAGAATGTATAATGGAACCAAAGCCTTTCATAATTTATATACATAGAAAAGTGGAAGTGCGTAATGCAAATACGGAAGGAATTCGAATCGCTGGAAGTACGAACGTCGAACGATGAAATAACAGGATATAAATGACACGGATGAAAGAAAAATTTAAAATGCACGGAAATGCACGGTGCGGCGAGTTGAAAACGAATTTTCCAATTGGATATTTTCTTACGAAATAAAATTTGAGAGATCAAATCTGAGGCAGTCTCATTTCCATCCACCGATATATATTTCAATTTATTCAAACTCACCAGGAACAAAAGCAATTAAAAAGCAATTCCCTTTGCAATTGAATACGATAACAAGACATTACAAGACACAGACCTGGTATTGAAATTCTATCCCAAAGTATCAGTGTTCCATTCACCAATCTAACTACGACTCGTTCGATCTCACGAAGAAAGGAACAATCACGAAGAAGATCAAGGGGAGGAAGTAAAAATAATACTCAATCAGAGTTTACTCGATCGGATGCGAGATGAAATGAAATTAAGTCAAGATCACTGGACTTGCGAACTGACAACGAGTCTACTCTCGCCTACTCAAATTCACCGAAACAACGAAATAATTAGTCACGTTAGAATCAGAGAACGTGCAGAAGTGACAAAAGAGTGTTAAATCCCCTGGCTTTGACAGGATCGAGAGCGAGAGGACCGCGTCCCACCTGTCCACTGTCGACAATTCCCAAACTCACCGTGGGTCCCGCGAGACTGCAACATTCTCGCGAAAAAAACTAAAAATAAACGTCAAAGCTACGTCAGGTGTTTAGCACTGGAAGCGACTCATACGCGTAACAGTGGGACTCACTGACGGCGGGCCCCAAGTGGGGATCACTCGGACGAAGAGGAAAACGAAACTGTTGCCCAAGGAGAGGGACGTTTTCGAGAGGCGTGGGGAAGTGGAGTCGTGTGTCTGCCAAAGGGGAGTGGTACGACGATCGTGGTCGTTCTCTACGCGAACAAAGAGGTGTAACGTGGGGGGTACGGTGTGTCGGGCCCGGGTGGCGAAGGCGAAAGTATGCCGCGTATATAAGGCGACGAACCGTCGGCAATCAGCATCCAGTTCACTTCTGGACGCACCTGGAATATCTCGAGAGCAAAAATGAGAGTCCTGGTACGTGAGTGACACGCACGCAGCCGAAACGGGGAAAACGGACGATTATCGGGCCGCTGTCCGAGAAACAGGGGAAGGGGGGATGCAACCGGGGGTCGAGCAGTGACCAGAGAGACACGGTTACGCTTGCATTCGTGTATTCGCGCAGTGAATGATTTCTATTTCGCGCTGGTGATCCGCGACTACAGTTTTGTAGTTTCCGCATAGTTTGTTTGGGACGTAGATTCGCGTACAGTGATCACGTCGTAAGAGAGTTTGAGTCTCTGGTTCCTTGAGAATTTCTTGAAAATCTTGATAAACTGGAGTCTGATCGATGGATCAAGGGTATTTGACAGTCAAACGACTTAGCTTCTTCTTCTTCTTCTTTCGAGACTTTCGAGAAACCCGAAATCGTTCAGACGTGATTCGTTCCGCAACCGGTTTCCACGAATCGCTTTCGTTTTCGTACGCGGTCGAGTCGACGACGTAATCCAGACGCTAATACTGTTCTAACTGTGGTTTTCCAGGTCTACACGACAGCGATCGCTTTGTTGGTCTCGTGCACATGGGCCGAGGAGAAGACGGCTGAGAGAGCGGACGCTTCTGCGGAGGACAAATCGACGAAGAAGCAGGAGAAACGGGGCCTGTTGGGTCTCGGTTACGGCTACAGTTACGACGGTGGCTACGATATCGGAGCTGGTGGACACGGTGGCCTGGAACTGAGCGGCTACGGCGGCTACGGCGGCTACGGCGGCTATGGCTACGGTGGCTACGAACACGGTGGACACGAACACGTGAAGACCGTGACCGTCGTCAAGAACGTGGCTGTTCCATACCCCGTGGAGAAACACGTGCCGTACCCCGTGGAGAAGCCAGTACCAGTCCCCGTGAAGGTTCCAGTACCGCAGCCTTACCCAGTCGAGAAGCCCTATCCAGTCAAGGTTCTTGTCAAGGTTCCAGTACACATACCGCAACCGTATCCCGTGGAGAAGAAGGTCCCATATCCGGTACACGTACCCGTCGATCGTCCGTACCCCGTCAAAGTTTTGGTACCGCAGCCCTACCCCGTGGAGAAACACATACCGTATCCGGTGAAGGTACCGGTGCCACAACCGTATCCGGTCGAGAAACCAGTCCCAGTGCCGGTCAAAGTTCCGGTCCACGTACCAGCACCCTATCCGGTGGAAAAATTGGTCCCAGTGAAGGTCCCCGTCGACCGTCCAATTCACGTGCCAGTACTGAAACCGTACCCGGTGCACATCGAAAAGCCGGTGCCGTACGCGGTGGACAGGCCAGTGCCGGTTCCAGTCAAAGTACCAGTCGACAGACCGTACCCAGTCCCAGTTGAGAAGCCAGTCGCTGTGCCGGTGAAGGTGCCGGTGCCACAACCGTATCCGGTTGAGAAGCCAGTACCTTACCCGGTCGAACGACCCGTTCCGGTCGAAGTTAAGGTCCCGGTTGACAGACCGTATCCGGTTCACATCGAGAGGCCGGTGCCATACCCGGTCGAGAAGCCTGTCCCCGTTCCGGTCAAAATACCAGTCGCGGTTCCGGTACACCACGACCACGGTTACAGCAGCGACTGGGCCGGTGGCTACGGTTATCATTAAGCACGTACCAATCGTGTCGGTTTTTGATTGCCGTTTGAACAAACATCGTGTCAGATGGTAATTACACGCCGGCGACATCAGGCAATCGACAAGCAGTTTTAGGTAACACATTAGGAGAGAAAAGGAGAAATGAAATTCATTGACGAGACAGTAGGGAGAGGGCGGTATTCGATGGCACGCGTCGATCCACGTATTCCTTCCTTTGTATGTACCTGGATCGCGACGGGGATGGACTGGGTTAACGAAGACACACGTCGCACCAGAGGCCGGTCCCTCCGAGGTCGATCGTACCGAGCCCCACGAAACACGGCGACGACGCGCGTCACCGATACGAAAAAGAAACCGAGAGATTCATTGTTCATCGAGCCCGTCCTTAGCGATTCTTCGTTCGACAAACAACTCGCTTATCTCACCTTCTCTACTTTATTTTTGTTTTTTTTTCTACCGAAATAGCAAAATACATGTATTTTTGTACGAATTATAAATATTAATAACGTAAAGAATATCGAGCCGGCTGCGTTCTTGTTCTTTCACGATCGTTCTCGACCTTTTCCTCGCACTCCACCGTCACGATCAGTTTAACAAAGTTTCCTTCATTTCTAGTTTCATTTTCCGGCGTTCCTCGGCCCCGTTCCTAATCATTAACTATTCCATTACGATATTTATCGTCGACGATCCCAGAAACAATTTCACTGTTCTCTGTCGATCGATGCTCCTCGAATCGTCGACAAACGGCGGGACTGTGGGAGAAGACATCGTGTCACGATCGAATGCGCTCGCTTTCCACGCGACGTGTTCCCTCGATCGTAGGGACAGAGTTCGCCAGATTCGCCGGTTTCACTTTCGCGTTTGGAACTTTCTTCGAGCGTACGGCTGGCCACGCGTGCAGGTGCGCGAAAGATTCGTGCGCTCTATGGCGACGACACGCGAAATCGGATGGCAGAGCTACGACCTAGTTCTCTCGCTGCCAACACGGCCTTGCCAAATCGATGTTCTTGATCGCCCCTTGCCGTCCATGTGTCCTCGTAATTTGCACCGACGTGCAGTTCGTTGCTTTTCGACCCACATCTACTTTCCACGGAATCACCGCGGAGTACTCGAGAAAAGATTCGTGGAAACGCGACTCTATTGATCTTTCTGTCTGTTTTTCTTATTTTTTTTTCTGTCTTGCACGTTATATTATACACACGAATCATTCGTGTGAGTCGATTAATGTGGCTTTTGAAACTACACGATCACGTTTCGAAAGCTTAATGTTCCGCAAAACTCATACAAAGAGACGTAACTCTTATCGCATATTACAGAACTTTCGCTTCACTCCTCATTATCCAGAAACGAGTATAACCTCTTTCGACTTACATCATTTTTTTTTTTTTTTTTTTTTTTTTTTTTTGTATCGAGCGTACTCTACTGTTCTTTCTTTTGTCCGCGAGTTTCTTTCGAGCCAGCGAGTTTCGAAGCGAATTGAAAAATAACGGCACGTGTGCTCGCTTGGAGAAACACCGTCAAGGGGAAAGTGATTATCAAGAAGGCAGGAAAGTTCGACGGAAGCACCGGAAACTTTAGCAACGATCCACCGGCAACCTTCAATTACCTTCGTTGTGCGTTCGTTAAGCAACCCCGATGGATCCCTCGACTGTATACGATTTCAATCTACGCTGCACCACGTAGAGAACTGGCTGGAAACGCAGCAGCGTTTTATTTTATTTTAATTAACGTTCAGGGAATCGCGCACGTGGCGGCCTGTTTCACTAGAATCGTTAATTGACGTCGTTAGCTTGGCGAACGTATTCTCGGGGCTTGAGCCAGCCGACCGTGTCAAAGGATCACGCCCACGACTTATTTAATTCTTTCACGGCTAAATTTGCAACGCGGTAACGACTGGGAAAAATATAATGTTCAAAGTTCAAACAATTTGGTGCTTTAAACGTAAAATGTAATTTGCATAAACGTAGTAATAATTGAACAATTTTTTTTCTATTGAAAGAGGGATGAAAACACTCCCTCCCTTTTCCTCTGAGAAAAAGTCTTCACTTTTCACGTTATCCTGAATATTTACGAAATTGAATGCGATATGAATGTGAATATTTACGAAATTGTACAAGCTGCAGGAAGAGTTGTATTGTTTTTTATTGTCTGTATACTGATCATCATAATATAAACTAGAAATCTCTATTTGTATGTATCACGCAAAATAAAACTTGAACATGTTAATAGACTTGTATTTTGATACACGTGTAGTTGTCTATTTCATATGTACTCGTGTATTAAAAACTACACGAATTAAAATACGAATATTCATCAAATATTTTGTATTTTTAATATATGTTCAAAATCATGATCTCTGATGCAGATCGTAAAAAATAATACAACTTTTAATTCAACTCTTTTCGTATATCTCGAGTTGGGATTTTCTGTAAGTATTAGAGATGCACGTCAGGCATGGTTGTACCAATTCAAGAACATGCTTTGTCAAATGAACAAAAACATTCGATGGTTCCTTAAACTGAAATACGTACTATTAGACGCAGGAAAGTTCTCAGTGACAAAAATTTCGCACGTATTTATTTAATGAGAGAAGTCAAGGTTTTCTTGGAGAGGGTTTTTCATTCCCCAAGATCCAGGTCTTTCAGCAGAAAAAAAAATTGTTCCGTTCTCTTTGCAGGCAAGAGGGAAAGTTCAAACAAACGACAAATAAAATCGTAACAAACAAAAAAAGTGTATCAAGGTTACGACAAATGAAAGTAAAATGTCGAATTTTTTGGTGTAATAATATCCAACGAGTTGCGCTTCGACCCACTTCGACCGTGCCCAAGCACAGTTACTTGACTCACGAGTCGTACACTTCGTGCTCGTCCGTCGAACAAGTCAGCAACTCTTATGCAATCTGTGCCGCACGCGACTTCGATCGAGGCTGAAAGTGAGAGAGACCTCCCCTTTCGTACGAAAGATCGTCATGGGAGAAAAACTCGCGCCTTTGTGTCTGACCGGAACGATCGTGTTTCCCTTTCGCGTCTCCTAACTGTGGGCGAGGATTGTTTCCTTTGGTGTCTTGATCTTTACTTTGGTTTTCATGTGTTTTTTGTTCTGAATAATTTTTTTTTTTTTTTTTAATTTACCAAATGCATAGAGTGGTCTATATAAATTTCTATGTCAAATGAATTAGGAAGAGACTTGAATTTTAACTTCTGCAACGCGTTGTCGAGGCAGTTTCGCAAACTTTTACTTGAAACGAGCGTCGATAAAGCAGCTGCGCGATTTTAACGACGATCGGTACATTCATTTTATGTGAGTTTAAAAATTAATGAATTAAAAGAGGAATTGAATTCTTAAAATTTAAATTCATCGAATCGAAATTGTATCGCGGAGATCAAGGATCGCAATTTCCGAATAATGATTCGATTATTGTCTGAGAATATTGAGATTAACCAACTGTGGGAAACAGTATCGGCTGCAGTTACAGTAGTTAATTCGAAATGAGACTAGCAACGATAACGATATTCAACAAATCAAATAATGACTAGATTTCAATTCGAGATAAGTGGCGCCATGACCGGAAATTCAAATTGCTACACATTGATCGTAATGGAACTTTAAAAGTATGGTAATCGGTAAATGGTACTTCAACGCAGAGTACAAATGTTTTGTTTGGCATGCGCTCATCGAAAGTGAAGAACGATGCTGACGATGCGGACTGTATAATTAAACTGTGCACTTTTAATTGAAACTGTTTTTTCCTAATTGTTTGGAGCATCTTTGGAATATCTTGCGTGTTTTCACATCGTTATTCTTCATCGATTTCTACATCTTCACTTCTAATTATAGTGATTAGAATGATCCATTCTTGTTTTATACGTGTTAATTGAAGCATATATTCTAACAAGCGTGCTCCATGAATGGAAGCAGTTGTTTACACTTGTTAATCTTGATGATGCTACTAAAGGTAAAAAGAAAGTTATTTGCGTATCGACTTTAAAATAGAGTTCTTCTAGCGTGCACTTTGAAAATTCAAAGATCTTGGATCAGAATTGTGATCTGTTTAATCTCGATAAAGTATTTGAATGATCGTAGATCATTCGATGATTTTTGTGAATTACATGTTACGTAAAGATGCGTGAAAAACTAATTTATGGATTGTGATAAGAACCGACTATTATGAAATAAATATTTCAATTATTAATTATCATCGATTATTCAATTTGTCAATAAGTTCATCTCTATCGGAAAAGTTATTGAACTCTACTAATTTTTTACTATCTTATACTTTTTATATAAATATTCAGGTTAATTCCGAGTCTTATCAGTATAATTATGACAGCTGTGTTTCATTAAAAAACACAACAGTTATTTTTCGAATTTATGATCTTTTTATCATATGAAAATACGAATAAAAGTTCCCCGAATTCTATACAAAATAATATAAAAATTAATTCTAAATTTTACCAAAATAATTATGGCAGTCGTGTCTGATTAAAAAAAACATAATCTTACATAAACTTCTCATCGTATAAAACTATGAATAAAAATTCTCTGTACACCAAAAATTAACGTAAAAGCATAAAATTACTGCAAAATTCCTTGCTTCTTAAAATATTTCAAAATGCATCTATTCTGTAACTTTCATATATATATGTAGAAAAATTCCTTGAAATGTTTCCTTTCTACACAAAAGAAGAATTATTACTCTCTCCTGAATGATGCGTGTTCTGCATCTTAACAAGATGTATGGGAAAAAATCTGCATGCTCGATGCACCGAGCATGACAGAAATGATACCAAAAAGCAGAAGAGGATCAGAATCCAGCCACGGTTCCGTGATCATCGCGTGTCCGCTGTGAAATCTTCGTCTATAATAGTCGCAGTTTCAAGAATCCACGTTTTCACCACGGCCAATGTTTGGTTCTTTTTCTATTACGTGTATCTTCGAGAAGGACTGTCCACTGTTTTCTCGATTATGGTTACAACCGCGATACTGTCTCCACAGACGCAGTCCATGACCATGAAAGTTCTCTACGATTATTCATCTGCGACTTTCCGCTTGGTACCCGGAAGATCGTAAAGCTGATTGCAACTCGATCCGTTTTAATTTCTCCCCTTTCGATACGCTCGATTTAACATTCATTGACAGCCAGCGAGTTCTATATTATGTATTACGAGTTATTAATTTGAAAAGTTCTAGCGCTTAGTCTCTCGTGTCAATTCTATTTAATTTGCCAATTACTGATAGATTTCTGAAGTGAAAATATTACTCGATATCGCATTAGATTTTAATTTATAACTTAATAATTAATTTTATTAATTTATAATTTAGTGTATTAATTTCTTTTTATAGACTCTTGGATTAGGAATAATTCTGTTTATTTTATGATGTTTTAATTATTCGAGACCATTGATTTTCTATTAAAATTTCAATGTTTCATTCAACTAATTTAATGTGGTAAGACTAGTTTTAGCAAATTTTCATATTAGGAGTAATTTTTTCTATTTTATCGCTTTCAACTCAGAGTCTCAATTTTATAACTTAAAATTTAGTATACTAAATATAATTCTCACTACGAATAATTTTAGCAAGCTTCTTGAAAAATAGTAATTGCCGTGTATACGCGAAAATCTATCTATATTAAATGCAATTTTTACTATGAATACATTTAGTAAATCTCTTTTGAAAAAGAATTATTACTATCCTACACTTTTCTCCGTTGACTCAATATATATATTATAATATAATATAGTATAATATAATATAATATAATATAATACATATTATATTATATTAATAATATATGTATTAAGCAGGATCATAATAATTTTTGTATAATAATTTAATAATTATATAATTTAATAATATAATAGTATAATTTAATAATTTATATATTATACATTAGGATAATAATAGTAGGATAATAGTAGGATAATAATAATTTATGTATTATACATTAAGTAAGATAATAATAATTTTTTTTCAAGAGAGATTTACTACTATGCCATACTTTACTACTACACTACTATATGTATATATATATATATAAAAATGAAAAATCTGAAAATAACACTGTGAATTTCGAACGATGCAACACGAGTTTCGTTTTCAATTAGAAATCCCACGACAGATCAACCGGAGAATCTGAGAAGTCAGATGATCTTTCGCTTTCGTTTTGTGCGTGACTGGCATGGAGATCGATCGCGGCTAGCGTTCTCGATGGAATGCTCTCCAAGGTCGCCACAACAGGGAAAAAACGTTGTCGCAAAAGGGCGTGAAAACATCGAGACCGGACTTGGCTGGAGCACGTTTGCCAACAACCGATATCACTTCATTATCAGATGCTGGATGGAACACAAGAGTCAGATTCCTCCTGACCGGGTTATTATCTGGATGAGAGTTTCACTCTCTAAAAAACATGCGAAAGCGAAGACGCGTCCCCCGTAAATCCCTCAGCCTGTGCACAAACTTAAGATGGAGGAACGTCTATATAAAAGCTAGTACATCCACAGGTCTGATTTACTTCTTTCTAGTTTGGATCGTGCATCGAAGGATTTTTAAAAAGTTAATAAAATTACGAAATCAATTCACCTCGTTCTCGTTCGGATCGTGCATCACTGAATTCGGAAGTTAATAGAATCACGAAATTAATTAATTTTATTAATTGGTCATCGTCGAAGAATCTTTACGTATCTATTAATAAAATGACAAAATTAACTTGATTTGCTCAAATTTCGTTAGTAAGACTGTCTAAAATTTCTGTTTATATTAAATTGTACATAGAAGAATCTTTGGAACCTAAACCAGAAAATTTATTTCCTTCATTCTAGTGTGATTCGTGCAACGGAAAATGTTCGAAAATTAGTATAACAGAATTACAAAGTTAATTTATTTATTTATTTTTTGTTTTTTAGTTTCTATCGTATATCGAAAGATCTTCGAAAGCTCAAGTCGATTTACTTCGTTCTAGTTTCGACCGTGTATCGTAGAAAGTTAATAAAAGTCAATAAAAATCACAAAATTGACGTACATCATTTTAGTTTCGATCGTGCGTCGAAGAATCTTCGCTACAAGAACCACAAAAATTGATTAACTTCTGTCTAGTTTGAATCTTCAATCCTGAAGATATCAGGATTCTACAATGGTAGGTGCAAAAAGAAAAGTGAAAGAGACGAGTACCTGAATCTGTATGTATTTGACTAATTGCTTGGTGATAACGTTGAAAAGTGAATCCGAAGAATACTACGATTTTCGTAAAGAATTCATTTGTTCCATTTGCAGAGAAACACAGCGATCTTGGTGATACTCATCGTGGCAACGTCGTCTGGATATCACGTCAATTCGAAGCAAGATTCGATTTTTGAGAAAAGTTACAGAACTACGAATACGCGACCGCAGACGTACTACAAGCAAGAATGGAACGATCATGTTGCCAAAGAGAAAAGCTGCAGAGCCTTGGAAAAGATGGATCGGGGATCAAGATCGACGGAATCCGTCGAAAGAATGTGTGCGTAAATCTCGCAGTAGTAAAATCTCTTTATCTGAAAGTGTTCTTACACTTTGTATGAAGCGAAATAAAATTAATTTCATTAAGATACTAAATTAAAGTGAAACTCCATAAAGAATATTAACAGCTTTTGTACAAAGACGTTCAGACATTCCACACAGACTGTCTGCTACGTACAAATAATAAAAAGTGTTACGTTTATTTCTTCGACAAATAGTAAATTGTTTATAAGTATATTACACCACAAGATATAATTCGAATAAAAATTCTAGCTCTTTTATAGAACGTACAAAGAGTTCCATGAACGATTTTGAATTTTCAACGCCAGTTAAACCGGCAAAAATCTTACACGAAAATAATGATTTTAATAAAAAGATCCCTTATACGACGACTTTCACAAACGATTGTATATTTCCGCGAGTACGAACGTTAATTAAACCAGATCATTACAGACGATCCGTACGACGAGTTCCTGGAGGACCAGCAAGCAGAAGCAGGGAGCCTCGAAGACATCGTCGTCAACAGTGACTTCAAAGAAGCTCTAAACGGCAGATATTCCGTGTCGAAACCCGACAAGATACCAGAGGACGGTCAAATTCTAGGTCACGACGTGCACGAGGACGTGCACAAGATGGTAACCGTGGTGAAGAAAGTGGCAGTTCCCTATCCGGTCGAAAAACTGATACGATACCCTGTCGTGAAGAACATACCGTACCCCGTTAAAGTCCCCGTAGCTCAACCTTACCCAGTCGAGAAGAAAGTACCGTACCCAGTAAAAGTCTTTGTCAAGGTTCCAGTAAAAATTCCGAAACCGGTACCGGTGATCAAGGAAGTCCCTTATCCGGTCCAGGTGCCAGTCGATCGCCCGGTGCCTGTCAAGGTTTACGTACCGGACCCGTACCCGATCGAAAAGAAAGTTCATTACCAGGTGAAGGTGCCTGTACCCGAACCGTTCCCTATCGAACGAAAGATTCCAGTAGCGGTGAAGGTACCAGTGCACGTGCCCCAACCGTACCCCGTGGAGAAGGTGGTGCATTATCCTCTAAAGATTGAAGTCGAACAACCGATACCGGTACCAGTGCCTAAACCATATCCCGTACCAGTTTCTAAACCCGTTCCTTACCCGGTTGACAAGCCAGTGCCTGTACCAGTGACAGTCAAGGTACCACGACCTGTGCCTGTGCCCGTTGATAAGCCTGTCCCTGTCAAAGTGAAGATCCCGGTGCCAGCACCGTATCCTGTGGAAAAGGAGGTACCCTACACTGTTGAGAAACCAGTACCAGTACCGGTGAAGATACCAGTTGACAGGCCTATACCTGTACACGTGACGAAACCTGTCGCTTATCCAATCGAGAAGCTTGTTCCTTATCCGATCAAGGTACCCGTTGAAGTACCAGCTGAGGCAGAAGGGGCTCATCATCACGGTTGGAAGTAACGAATAGGATGTGAATAGCAGGAGGGATGTTTTAGGATAATTTTGGAGTTAATGGTATAAATACAGGGGTGGGCAAATACGGCTCTTTGTTGAGTTAAGTGCGGCTTCCAGTGAAAATTTAAATCCGTTTTTTCTTTCTATTTTTTCGGAACTTTTTTTCACCGAATCTTGTTAAATTGGCCAAGTAACTAATATTAGTAACATTTCTGCTAATAATAGTAGAATATGTAACCATATTAATTAAATTAAATTTGAATTTGTGTATTGAATACTGTAACTATGGCTCTTTACGACATGTCTGTCATTGACCTGATGCGTGTCCACCCCTATAGTTGCCGGACGATTCTTTTGTACAAATACCGTGAAAGGAGTTTAGTTATTTAATTCGAGGTATTTAAAAATTATTTTCAGAATTATTTTATTGTAGGAAATTTAAATGTATATTATATGTAAGAATATATATGTAAGATACGTAGTATAGAAATTTATGGCTTGTTAAAGAATGATGAAAAGAAGGATCAGAGGGTGAAATAGATTTTATTTAGGTTCATTATTTTTTAATTTTAACTTGATTGTAAGAATATGAAAACTGCACGAAGTCTAAATCGGTCTAATTGTCTAATTGTGTTCTTAATCATTCAGTGGGAAACTTTAACAAAATTGTTTTGTCAAGCGTAACTCGAATCTCAAAATTTCTGTTTCGTCTAATATTAAACCGAATGCAGAGGAAGGACGCGACGTCATTGCGACGACATTGCAGCGGTGATCCTATATGCACATATATATTTCGAGATTATATATATACATATATGTATGTATTTTCCGAATGGTGCAATGCACACCCAGCATGCAGTCTCGCAAATTAAATCGTGGCACACAAAATTTCTCGTCTGCACTGAGTGTAATATACATATAATATCGAAAATGTACCAAAATTCTAACAATAATATAGAAATATCGAAACTTGTTATTTTTAATATTTTTAATAAAACAAATTTGCAAAATTCTCCCGAAAAGTTTTTAAATACGATCTTTCATTTTTTTCTTCGAACTATAAATTTCTACAACTGTAAATCTCGATTGCAATTCATATCGACAGTACCGTTTCTAACTATAGTACACGCACATTCCGCGAGAGGTTGCACGATGTAAAAATAAACAAATTTTACACTATATCCGCTAATAATTATTGATTTTCAAATACAATGACCTCCGTCGCCAAAAGGTAATAATTAATTTTACGGTGCTTAATTTTATCTTCTTAAGATTATTTTCTCTTTGTAAATTATCGTAGCGACAGAGTGTTCGAGTATTTTCCGATTAACGGCCGGAAACAATTTCAGAACAATTTAGATCAAAGATACCAGACGATTTTCTCCACAAATATAGCGATATCCAAGCCATCGATTTCGTTCCAGTCACGTTCGCTTTCGCTCCGATTAACCGCACTGATGTCCCCGGCGGTATAAATCCGTATAAATCGTCCAAGTTTAATCTTGAAAATTCCCACAATCCCCGATATTAATCATAACCTACAGATATTAATCATGACCTAATTCCGACAATGAAGAACAGAAATATCGTAATCTGTAATTTCTTTAATTTATCATCTTACTTCGGGAAACGAAAATGAAATATCGCCATATATACGATATGAATGCGGAAGACAATAGTCCGTTTGATTGAAAAATATCTCGAGATGAAGTCACGAACGAGATGGTATACCTAATCTGATTATCGAGCCAGAGGAAGAAAGCGGCGCGATTTAAAATGGCAAGATCGTCGCGGAGAACTTTTATACCGGTTTCGGTTTCACTTGAACAAGACACGAGAAACTTGATGGCGTGTGATCGATGAGGATCAGCAGTAAAAGAAAAAAGAGACGTGAGGAGACTGACTGATAGAAATACCCAGTGCGTGGAAGGCTCAGAGATCAATCAACGTAAATAATTTTACCGTTAAAAATGGCTTGTGCCGTATGAAAATGTTTTCGTTGTCAAAACGTTCAGTTGTAAATGGAAAGATTTAGTTGTAACGTCGTAGTGATTTATTGCGGATTTTTCTGCAAATTCGTATCTTTGAAAATATAATCTAAAAGATAGAAGACACTTATACAAGATTTATTTACGTACTAAATATTATATTTCATAAATATTCTTTTCATATTGTGTGTATTTTGTGTAATTTTGCATTTTTTAATTTTCTATAAATGCATAAAAATCCGTAGTCTAGTAATAATTAAACTACTCTATCAACTTTTGCATTGTTTATTAACTCTTTGAGTGTTCAGTCTATATTAAAGAATTGTAATAGATAATATTGTAATTAATACTAAATATTATAATCAATAATAATTATTGATTTACTAGTTCAAGAAGAAAAACGTATTACAATATATATGTCAAATGCATATGCATATGTTTAAAGATGAATGCATTCATAATTTGTTCTTTGATCCTCATTTCAGTATTAAATTTTTGACAATTTTAAGCACTAATTTTTAGACAGGGTTTCTTTGAGTCGAGCTAAGTATTTACATTTGTGATTGAATTCAATTATGAATAATTCTTAGCAATTTATCTAACTTGAAAGTAGACAAATTAACTTTTTATTAACGGCGTAATAAAGAATGAAAGAAACATCGACAGTTGACAGTTCGAAGGCCAAAATTGCCTTACGAAAATATAACTTTTACTCATTAAAAGGAAAGCTTACGTTAATATTCTCAGGTTTAATTATCATAACTCCGTGTCACGGAAGTAGTAATTTATTTCTGAAAATTATTATGTCGTTTATCTTATTATTTCTTGTATAATACTTCATTCTCGTACATCAATTATGCCATAGATATTACTCGAGTCATTTTCTCGTGTTTAATATTTCCTCTTGCTAAATCTAAAGTACACGATATTTCCTCGTTCGTTTCGTTGTTATTAGAATCTGTAGCAAGTTTCATTGTTACGTGTAAAGTTCGGGATTGAATTTTAAAATGTTAACGCTCAGCCGATTCAAACAAGTCCTACCTAACTACGGCTCCAATTTTTGTCTGCAGCGAGTTTCGCGATGGAAATTCTGGAATGTTTGTTCCATTGTAGAGAAAAACGTAGCTTCGCAGTAGTTCAGGGTTCGCCCGGTTTTACGATTGCCCATAGAAAGTGGTCATTCGCTTTCATCTGTCAAACATGAATAGCGTTGCTGTTCCGACGGGCTTTTCATCAGATTAACGAACCATTGCAGCCCGGGCTGATACATCGTAAATAGATCTTCGCGTTTTCCACAGTGTTGTGTGAAAATAATATTTCCTTCCTACTTTTACTTCCATTTCAAACGTAAAATACGTTGATTGGATCCACGAGATGAGAGTTTCAATCATTCTGTGATATTTCAATAACATGGAAAGCGGCTACATATAATTTGAGAAGTTGAGAAAAAGAAATATATATATATATATATATATACAGAACGATTGAACGATTCTATCTTGTTGAAATGTTACATGTACAAATACAAGCTGATTTGAAAATTTTTCGTGAAAATTAGAAAATACGAAGGGAAGAGTGAAATTTGAATGTGAAAATGTGGCTGCAGAGAAATGAAATTTTAGTTTAGTACCTCGCCAAACCACAATGAAAATTCTATTTACTTTCTATCATTTCATTCACTTCACTGCTACTATAATTAATATTTCCCGGTACAAACTCTTTCTATCTGAATTCTTTCGAAAATTTTCATCCGAACTCAATTGGAATTTAACGTGAACTTGTCAATGATTGAGTCAACGTGAAGCAACATCTGTGAATAATTAAAGTGGCATTCAAAGGATTTTTTGTTTCTAGAATATCCGGCAGAAATATTCCAAGATTACTTCTTCTGTGGTAAAATAGTTTTACGAGCAAAGTAACGAATGTCTGTAGATTTTCGCTAATTCTCAGGGAAAAACAATGACCGATCATTGTCACGAGATAGGCATTGCGAAATCTATAAAGATCTAGCTGGTCGAACAGGCGAAAGTCGTCCACCGTGTATAAATAATACTGGAGCAGCATCCGCTTGGATTCAGTGCACGTTGATCTATCGGTACGGTTAGAAAAATCATGGGACGTCTGGTTGGTATTTCGAAACTTCAGCCATTTACTTTCATTAACCAGAGCCTTCCTCTTCCTCCTTTCGCGAGTGTTTTTAACAGATTAAAGGTCGAACAAATTTGTTTAATTTTGGGAGGAATTTGATCGATATTTCTGTTGGAGTTGTATAAAATAGATTACACAGTATATAAGAGTTGTCTGTTATACTCAACGCAGAAGATTAAATCCCAGATGGTTTGTCGGAAATTGTATTATTGAAAAAGTAAAGAGAAACATGTTCTTGTTGCTTAAAATTTTTAACAAATCCATTATGAATTATTAAACTGATTTATTTTGTTTTGACATTTTTTCCAAAAATTTTAACGCATAAATACCAAAGTGATTCAATGATTCTCTATCCATGAATTATCTTGTAGTTCGAAAAAGTTCATCAATGTACAGATAAATAAGTCACTAATACTTTATCAATATTCTTGTCTTTCTCTTAAGTTGATCGACCTGTAATTTATCATCAAAAAGTATTCCGTTTCGATAAATTTTTCTAGAGATTTGATCAAAGTAGATGTAAATATGCAGATGGTTTATCTTTTCCCCTTCCGATTTTTTTTTTTTTTTTCGTAAAAATTCGATGTAAACTGGCGAGTAATTTTACGAAATTTCAATGTAGCGACAGATCATAATCGCATTACTATGCTTCTCCGTGGCCCTAACTTGTTCCGCCACTCGAAAAGAGGACGTGGAAAAGGCGGCGAAGCTCGCAGTAGAAAAGCCAGCGGAAAGGGCAGCCGAGGGAGCAGTGAAAAAAGCGTTAGATGGCGGGAATACTACCACCGAATCAAAAACAGCCAGTGAATCATACTCCAACGTGCGAAAAGTGAAAGACGAAGGAACACAGGAGGACGATATCGAGGATTGGATCCATACTGAAAGATCTCGATCGAATTCGTTCAGAGAACGGCCAAGCAGAGTGAAGAAGGAAGATTGGAGACGACTCCGGAGGAAGGACTTATCCTTGCAAGCTTCGCCCTGGCACACCCCGAAGGTGTTGACAGTTGAGAAGAAAGTTCCGGTACCTGTGACCGTGGAGAAGAAGGTACCGTACACTGTGTACAAACATGTTCCCTACGAGGTCAAAGTGCTAGTACCGCAGCCGTACACGGTTGAGAAGAAGGTACCGTACCCAGTGAAAGTGTTCGTGAACGTACCAGTCGAGGTGCCAGAGCCGTACATAGTAGAGAAGAAAGTACCGTACGAAGTGAAGGTGGATCGGCCGGTACCGTACAAGGTGGAAATTCCGGTCCCTCAGCCGTACACCATCGAGAAGAAGATACCGGTGGAGGTGGAGGTGCCGGTACCACAGCCGTACACCGTCGATAAGACAGTGTCCTACGAGGTGAAAGTACCTGTTAAGGTGCCAGAGCCGTACGAAGTGGAGAAGAAGGTACCGGTACCGGTGAAGGTAGTCATCAATCGACCATACCCAGTTCCGGTACCGAAACCGTATCCTGTGGTAGTCGCGAAACCCTATCCAGTACCCGTGGACAAGCCGTACCACGTTGAAGTCAAGGTACCTGTCGACGTGCCTTTCTCCGTGCCCGTGAAGAGGCCGGTACCAGTGCCGATCAAGGTGCCAGTGCCGAAACCGTACAGCGTGGAGAAACCGGTTCAGGTCGAAGTGGACAAGCCTTATCCCGTTCCGGTCAAAGTGCCCGTGGACAGACCGTACGAAGTTCACGTGACGAAACCAGTACCGATACCGGTGAAGAAACCGTTCCCTTACTGGGTGCAGGAGCCGGTGCCGGTGAATCTCGATTGGAAGCAAGCTGAATCGAATGGGTGGAAGGATAGGATAGATTCGAGGGGAGATACGAAGAGCGTGGGAGACAAGGATGAACGTAAAAAGAGGGAGTAGAAGACGAAAGTGTGGATCGCGAATGAAATGAATTTGTGATGGCAACGTATTCGTGATGGTGATTTTGCATTGGCTGGGACAACTAGGGGATCGTTTTGCTTTGATTATCACATTCGCTTCTTATAGTGTACTTACATATATTATTTTAAAATTGTTTTAGAGGCTGTTTTTTATTTATTGTATCGAAATTTGATAACAAAACTAACTTTTGGAGAGAATGTCCAATTTATGCGAAACTGATTAAATAATTGATTAAATACTTGACGAATAGTATTTGACGAACATGTGGCAAGTGAGAACACTGCACTTGAACACTATGTATTATGCAAAAGAGAATGAACATACTTTATATTGTCGCAGCGATCCTCTAATTGTTCCGAGCAGTGTATATTATACTGGTTATTTATTTCGACTGACTTCCGACATCGTTGGTTCTCCAAACGCAAAGATGTTCAGTATTCTTATTTTTAAGGATAATTTACATTTATAAGTAAACTTTCTGTTAAATGTAAATAAACATGATTTCAATCTAATAGTATACGATCTGGAAATCTTGTTTTTCTCACCGTTCCTCGCGTGTTTCTCTTCGATTAGATTCATTCCTTGCGAATGATTGAACATATGAATGCAACTACTCGTGTTTCTCACGGAAAACTTGTTAACGCTTCAGTCAATATCCATATTTCACTGTTCTCTTTCCCAACAGCGGATTCTTTTCGAGGAAGTGCTCGTACCTCGTTGATTAATATTCTACCCGCGAATTCCTTGCTCGTTCTACTGTGCACGTGATGGAATACGGAATAATCTCTGATAGACTCATGCAAATTTCACTGACGCACTTTCCTTTGATCTCACAGCAATTCAATATTAACAGTTCGAGGTAACTGAACTGTTAAATATTATTATTATTATTATTATTATTATTATTATTATTATTGATTTCTAAATAATGAACAACAACAAAACGTTACCGAAGTGTGGAATGTGGATGTTTGTGCACATTTGGAAAATTTAAAAGTACACATTTACACAAACATGAAGATACGTATTATACACAACAATATATAGAATATAGAACAGAGCAGAATGATATTTAATAGATGAAACAAATTTTTATTCAACTTCCAGTTTTTAGCAAAATTTATAAAGATACAAAATTGCATAATCATTCACAATTGTAATGGTGTATAAATCTCTCAATCCTTCGAAATTTTTAAAAACTTGATGAACTTCTCGAATGGAATATTATGAGCAAAGGTAATTTATAGAAAGACTATCAAGTTGTAGAATAATAAGTCTTTTTTTTTTTAAATTCACATTGCTTTAAATAAATGTAAAGTGCTGAACATGTGAAATTACCATTTGAATTACTGTAAATCACGAACGGGAGGAAGAACGATCACCAGGAAGAAATTATCTAATGATTAGTTGCTCTAATCTCGTGTTTAGCTGTTCTTACGAATCCGGTAATTCCTTCCGGTTGTAATAAAGCGATTCCTGCTCGTCGACAACGATGCACAATTCTTCGATTGAAGATGGTAATTCAGAGAACTCGTGGTACTTGTATCACGTATAAGAAATCAGCAATCTATTAATGATATCACTTTGCTCATTGCTTGCTTACTTCTCCCCCGCATCATTTCACTTTTAATATCGCGTAATTGCTACTTAAATCCACCATTAAAAGCAACAGCAAGCATACTTTTCCATTTAACTGCTCCTATCACTCTGCTTTCCAGGCTTGAGATTACCAATCTGATGTAGCATAGTAAATACACTTCCTCCATTTCGTAACGCAGTAAATTTATTTTCTGCGGAAAACACAGTATATTTATTTTCAATTAAAATTTAACAAGTTCCCGGCAAATTTATCGTATTCCTAAATGTTGTCCTCCATAAATATTTTTTATCGTCTGTAGAACACGTAGACTGGCATTTAATGATTAAATTTGATGAAATTCTGCTTTATTCGGTATTTTAAATATAATAATCTGTATTATTTTGTATTTTATATATATATATATATATAATATTAATATTATAATATATTATATATATTATAATATTAATACATAATACAAATTATATTATTTTCTATATATAATTTGAATGAAATCATGACTTTGTAATAAAATTAGAAAGCATTCAATTTCTATTAAATGTAAGTAGGAATTCTCTATTTTATAATAGATAGTATGTGTCATTTCAAAACAGAGAATTTTCTCTTTCTCTACATAATTTTACTTTTCCAATATCTACGTTTAAAACGCATCACTTTTCAGGATTTAATGAAGCATGAATCGTGAAAAATCATACATTTTATACATTTTACCATTTAATTACATTATGAAAAATTAAAAATTACTTCTTAATTGTATCCACTCTGAACTTTCTATTCATTTTATCATTAATTCAAAATCAACACCACAAACCATCAGCAGTAATTTTTCTACATTTCTGTATATTCCTAAAAATTTCCTGAATTTTAAAATTCCTTTAAAATTCCAATTTCCCTTTGAAATTATCGATTTCAATAAAATAACGTGGTGATTACAAACTTTTTGCTAATACGGAAACAAACAGAATTTGGTATGACTCTCTCCAGGTGCAATGCAATTAACGTTCGTTGCAACGAGCTCAGGATCTACACGATCGATCTCTCGAGTCGGGCGTAGTTTCATTTGAATCCTTCTCGCCAGTATACTCCTTCTCTCGCTTTTTATTTATTGATTTTGTTTTTGTTACACAAACTTTTTCTCCCACTTGTGTGACTTCTTCCTTCCTCGCGCTCTCTTCGTTCGACGAGAGAGGACTTCGCCGCGAACGAGAGGATTTATAAGTGATAGAAACGTCGCGCGCGTCCTTCTGCTGGGGACCGGAAACGGGGTGGGGGCAATCGTCCTGGCGAGAAACTTCGAAATATCTCTCGCACGGAGAAGGAGAAAGAGAGAAGCTGTTGGCTAAATGCGAATTCGCCGACGCACTGGCGTAGAATTGGACGAGTTTTCGCTCGAAATGAGCGAATATTTCGAGTCACGTGGTCGAGAGAATTATCGAAATGGATACTTTCGAGAGTAAGAGGTTCAATGTTTCGTAAGCATTTCAGATTGCCTCATCTTTCAGACTGATGATCAAACTGCGCATTTCTTTTTTCATGCATCTATGAGAAACGTGTTAAAGTTAAAATAGCATAACTATACTATAATATGGTATTCATATTGGTATGAATTCAATTAGTATGAAGCTTTGTTTGAACGTTTTCTACTCTTTCAATTCATGAAACTAAAAACTGATGATTGTGAATTTTTCTATGCATTTATAAAGAAATTTAAAACGCATGAAATATTCAAATTATGATAAAATATTTAGTTGGTACAAATTTTTCTTAGATCCTATGTTTTCAACTTTGTTCATAAAAATACCAGTTTAAATGAACATCGAATTCTGCCGACGACAGTTTGATTACACTGTCAATTTTATCCGATAATCTCTGATCAAAGAAGCACGACAATTTTTATAATAATTAAAACACAGTTTGTGCAAAATTGATTTTCCTCTACTAACGAAACGTCCGAATACAGACATAAAAACTCGAATTAGAAGTAACAGTAAGAAGCGTTTGAGCCTCCAGACAGAAGAGAGAGATGAACTGAGTCGGTGATGACCACCGCGCATTCTTCTCACAAGGAAGTCTAATAGAGCCGTTAGGCGAATCGTTTAGGATTCTGAACGATCGACCGCGTACGTTCTCTTTCTGCCATAAAAGCCGGCAAACGGCTCACTTAGTTAAATCATACCCGCGGTAATTTGTCGTTGATTGTCCATCGCCACTGCGATTTTCACCATCTCCGAGTCATTGTTCTCGCGTACTATCCCATTGTTTCTCCTCTATTATCCAGCGCGTTAAATCCAATTACAGTTCAAGCCCACGGTAAACCTCCGTATCGTGTCGATATAATCGATCGATCTAGAGATTAGTGGCGCGAACGGCGGAGAGCTTGGTAAACATTCTTACGTCTTCCGCGCGCGGTGAGCGTTTCCTTTCACCCTGGAAGAGCACAGGCGGTCTGTGGCTACGCCAGTGCAACGGGTTATGGAAGCAACGATCGTGGCCGGCCGAGATTTGAAAAAAAAAAAAAAAAAAAAATGCTACAACGTCGCACGCTCCGAACGAGCGGCCGCTCGCGCGCGCCACACGCGCGTGTTTCACTTTTCCGCGAACGTAGCGCGAACAGAGGGGCTCGCGACCGAGCCGGGGGAAAGCGGACTATAAAGACGGTGGCACCTTGGGGGGAAGTATCCAGTAAAGTCTGGACTTCGACCAGATACCCCGAGTGCCTGTGAAACATGAAATTTTTGGTAAGTAGCGGCCACTCTGGCATCGATATTAAATAAAATTCTGGCGCGAAAGTCTTTCAGAAGCGAAGAGCGTTCGACGTATCCTTTGGAAGCCTACGATCTTTCGACTTTCACGATTTTACGACACCACTGCTGCCGAAAGTTTCCAAGTTAAAATTTGATAAGGATAGAGGCAACTATTCTTTCGTTTCAGATTCCTACGATAGTTTTCGGCCTGCTGGCCACGGCGTTCTGCGAGGAGAGCGCGAAGAACGCGGAGGCTCAAGAACCGAGCGTGGAAAAGAAGCAAGAGAAACGAGGTCTCAGCCATCTCGAGGGAGGTTACGAAGGGGGTGATCTCGGCGGAGGGCACGAGATCTCTTTGTCGGGTGGAGACGGCGGTGGCTATGGCGGTGGATACGGCGGTGGATACGGCGGTGGATACGGTGGAGATGACCTCGGCGGTGGTTACGCTGGAGGTTACGGTCACGAAGAAGGCAAAGTGAAGGAGATCACGATCGTGAAGAGCGTGAAGATACCCTATCCGGTCGAGAAGAAGGTCCACTATCCGGTCGAGAAAGAGATACCGTACCCAGTCAAGGTGCATGTACCACAACCGTATCCAGTGGAAAAGAAGATTCCAGTTCCAGTAAAAGTCCTGGTCAAGGTACCGGTGCATATCCCGCAACCCTATCCAGTGGAGAAAAAGGTACCATACCCGGTCCAAGTACCCGTGGAGAGGCCAGTACCGTACAAGGTTTACGTGCCACAGCCGTACCCGGTGGAGAAAAAAGTACACTACCCTGTGAAGGTACCTGTACCTCAGCCGTTCCCTGTCGAGAAGCCTGTACCATACCCCGTGAAAGTCGTGGAACACGTTCCTCAACCGTTCCCTGTCGAGAAGCCTGTACCGTACCCCGTGAACGTGCCCGTTGAACGGCCATATCCCGTTCACATCCCGAAACCGTATCCAGTTCCGGTCGAGAAACACGTACCAGTGCCTGTCGAAAAGCCTGTACCTTATCCAGTCAAGGTGCCGGTGGAGCGACCAATCGGAGTACCAGTGGAGAAGCCAGTACCTGTCCATGTCAAGGTACCAGTACCAGCGCCCTATCCAGTGGAGAAGCCAGTACCTGTGCCTGTCGAGAAGCCGGTACCGTACGCGGTGAAGGTACCGGTGGAACGGCCAGTGCCAGTTTCGGTGACGAAACACGTACCAGTGCCTGTCGCTAAACCTGTGCCCTATCCAGTCAAGGTTCCAGTACCTGTGGTGGTGCACAGTCACGGAGGAGGTTACGAGGAGTCTGGAGGATACGAGGGTGGCTACGAGTCCAGTTATGGGGAACATTAGAAGAATTAGGGTAGGTCGAGTGGTAGCCAGTGGCGCCTGGTAATATTGTTTAATATCACAATTTTGTCGCGTTACATTCGTCTTCCCTTGGTTGGAAATATTTTAGAATTCGTTCTTTTCTTTCTTTTCGACGCGACGGGGGTATATTTATTACATTTCTCGGAAAAGCATTTCGCTGCGTTGAAGAATGATTTGTAAAGTAAAGGAGTTTGCAAGGTGACGTTCCAGAGCGTTCTTCAACCAGTGATTCACTTAGATCGTAGCGATTTTGATATCTTTTGATACCTGAGTACCTAAGAATACACATATTGTACACGTGCGATGTATTGTAGAAGGATTCATACATAGATGGTGTTTGCTGGCGATTGATTGCGAGCTCAGCCCGGTGAACACCCCTGTACCCATGTCTTTCGCTTCTTTTTAATAAAACCAAAGAACAAAAATTCCTTTCTATGGCTTATTTAATCCCAATTACCAAAAATCTGACAACATTTGTTACAGGCCTCCTTAATCCAGAGGATCTATCTTTAATAATATGAATTTTGAACCTCTAATGACTAAACTAATTATTTCAAGCGTCTCGCATTATCTTTAGTTTTCTAATCGAAGAAGCACACTTCCGTGAAACCTAAACAAACTCCGTAAAGACTTTAATATCAACTCTGAGATCTTCAACATCCTCCTGGAATTTTTCAGTTTCTCCATTCGCGAGACTCTGCTCCGAATCGAATCAAGGCCGCGATCCAGCGATTACATTTTCGCTCGGATCACAGTTTCGTAACGGACTTTTCCTCCCTGAGGAAAGCGTCCAACGCGGAACACACGATATCATCTTTGAATCGACTTTCGCGATCCGGCGGTAACGCAACGTTACGTCCGTAACGAACGTTTCCCGGAAAAGTTGGAAAGTAACGAGCCGGTATGCAGCAACGATTGCTCGCGAATGCGTTAACGCGGAAGCGGCCCGGTGATTAACGCAATAAAAGAAAACTGGCCAACAATTAGCCAGCCGACGTAGTCGAAGAAAGGGGGAAACTTTCATCGAACTCGCGTATACACACGTAACGATGGAAGAACCGAAAAGTTTGAATAAGCGTCTAGACAGGATCACGTGTTACTCGGCGGAGGATCGCTGACACGGAGAAAGCCTCTTTCTCCCGTTGCATCGATGATACCGCAAGACGAAACGCAGAAGTCTTCGAATTAAAAAAATGATCACGAGTGAAATCGCCGCCTATAGTCTTCTACAGCTAGGGAGAAATCTAGCTGACGTCGATGAGCTTGAAGATTTCGTTGATAAAAGTTTCATCGCGCGTGAGATATTCCAGATATTCAGAAGCCTTGTCGATCAACTTTACGAATTGAAATGTAGACGTTATAAAGTTATAAACATATTTTTTAGGAATTTATCTTGAAATTCGCGATCGTGTATATACTATTTTCACTTGAAATGTAAAATTATGAAATTAATATATTGATTAACTGATAATAAAATGTTGGATATTCATTAATTATGTACTTAATAATATTAATAACATTAAATATGTTAAACGCCAATCGTGTGTCTGAGCGATGAAGTTGAAAACTTCAGCTCATTCATTCTTAGAATATGAATTGTAGAACTCGATGACTGGGTTTGTTAGAATCTATTCTAAGAGATTACTAGCAATATTATCAGTTATTATCAGTTATTTGCATATTTCCCTGATTTTATTATATAAAACAATATGTCATAAAACGCCAGTGTGTATGAAATTTTAACTTTGGATTGTGGATTTCATAGAAACCCATGCTAGAAAATTGATATTTCAATAACATTCTGAACAAGTATTGTTCAATATATGTAGGTATATACTTTATATTTTACATCAATCGCGATAAGGATTAGGATACCTATTTTGTATATAAAAAATTAAAAGAAAATTTGAAAATTTGCAGAAACATAGATCCTAATCTATTTTTTTTTTTCAAAAATGTTCCTAAATGTTACCTAACATAGATTCCTTCAAATATCCCTCCTAGACTTTTCATATTATTTTGAATATTATTATTTTTCATATTATTTTGAATACAAAACAGTATGACAGAAACAGGAAAAAATTCAATTAAAAGTTATTTCGTATGGTCTATGTCGTAACAGTGAAAAGTTCTCAAAAATTTCCGACAATATTATACAACAATCCAACATTGATTTCCTATAAACGTCAGACGCATGACTTCGTCAAGAAATCTCTATCATGTACTAAAAAATCATTCACCTGTATCATTCAAGGATTTTCTGAACCAAAGCATATATTGTCAATTTGATAGATAATTAAAGAACGATAATTAAGAATAGCAAAAAAATCGTAACAATTTGTAAGAATAGTAAATTTGATTCTCAATTCCTCGGTTGCCGAACTTCCCCTTCCCATAGAAATGCAGAATTAAAGACTTACCGAATGTAAGGAATATTCGCTGGTATGTGATACTTGGCACCAGGATCGAAGTCATCCTCGGTTCTCAGAACAGGCGGCTTGATTCCAGCGTATTGTTCCATCAATCGATGCCAGTGGCAGTTGTACTCTTCCCTGCTGATGTAACCACGGAAGACGTCCCACCGCCATCTGTCCATCGCGATGCTAAACGGCAGCATCACTAATTTATCCATCGCCAGAGAGAATAGGTAATTTATATCCGCTGTGGGCTCGTCGATGTACTTGCTTCCCAAACTGAGAGTTTGAAGGTGACGGGGAGTGCCAATGCTAAGGGCCACGGCTTCACCCACAGCTTCGTGAAATCCTGCACAAATGAGCGTTTATTGCCTCTAGCCATCGGGGAAAGCGACAAGTAAATTGTCAACCAGTAAATCTTCTAGCCTCTTTTACTCTTCAAGCGTGAAAGAAGAGTTAGTTTTTATCGAATCGTGACTTCCTTGCAGACTGGTAATTAGATTCTTAGTCCCGTGACTAGGATCGCATCTTGTCGTGAAAATAGAGGTGTATAGTCATAATAAAACTTGCTACGCCTCTCAAACTTTTATATTTTGAACATAGTATAAAAACTAAAATAAGAATTTTTTGTAGAGTCTGTCCAAATTTGAGAAAATAGGAAGAATATAAGATAAGTTAAAATTCAATCTTGAACTTTGCACAGAATAATCAGACTTGTTTTATATCATAAGAATCTTTATAAGTGAAAAAAGTATGAAAAAATATTAAATAAGATAGGGTTATTTTAAAATTCAATCTCTACTTTGCTTAGAATAATCACATTCGCTATGCAGAGTGTCCCAGGTTTGAATGATCAAACCTCACCAGCATGTTGCACGAATAGAAATGACAAAATAAGTCCATAAACGCTTTATGAAAAAACTTGTAACCAAAATATGAAACCCAAAAGTAATAACGGCTTTGTTATTGATACGTCATAATGCAATGTGTTTAGGATTTTTTTAATCATGTTTGGAAATATTTTCACGATGATGCTTGAAGGGACGAAATTTAGAGAAACTTAATCTTCCCATGACGTCAAACTTTCATTCGAAACAGGAAAGGGCAGTTCGAAATGGAAAAATAAATCAAATTCTTTCACGTTTTTATAAAGCAGGGTGATGATAAAACATTTCCTATGCTTATACAACATTTCCTTCTTATTTTAACTCATGAAACATACTAGTGCAAGACACCGTATAAGTCTCGTACATAAAGAAATAAATTCAGCCTGGCTAAAATATGCTTCTGGCTCAAATATCAAATGTCCCTGACCGTCAAATTTTTCATAATATCTATCTACAAGAGTCCGGTTATTCGAACCAGCTTTCCAGCTCCCATTAGGCGACTCGGCAAGGTCGCAGTCATCGTTCGAGATTTATTTCCATAGTATATATGTATCTACTTTGGCGACTGGGCGAACGACCAACTGGCGGAACGGTGAAAGCGCGATTATACCATAATAAAAATATTTTAACGATCTGGCGAGTACACGGATTGGAGAGTACTCGCACATCCACTCGCTCGCGCGAATCCATCTCGACCGTATCGTTCTCACTCTCGCTTTCGAGCTAATAGACGTAAAAGTCGCGCGCGAACCGCCTACCGGAAGTCGAGGAAACCGACCACGCTTACGTAACGACCGCGTGTCGTCCGTCATGCCATCGCGTGTCGCTCCGTCGTTTCTCGTTCAAGAACTTAATGCTCCTTCTTGTATCTCCTCCGTGGCTTCGCGATTGTGTGCGACGGATTTTTTTTTTTTTTTTTTGTGAAAGCCGAGAAATTCGCGCTTCTTTTTTTAATAGTTTACGAGAAGTTCTTTTTCTGTAATATCAATTCTCCAGGAAGGAAATAATCGATAAGTTTGAAAGGGAGTTTCTTATAAGAAGTGGCTCGTTGATATTCGGACAAACTGGTGGTTGGAGAAATCATTATTTCATTTTTGTCTATAATAGCCTTATCAAATTAATTGCTCGTAGTCGATAAGAACATAAATTTTATTTATTTTATTTTATTTATAGCTTTTGCTTGAACAAATTACATCAAGTTCATACTAATTCTGTATCTCTTGACACATTTCGTATATGTATATTTAATATGAAATGAATAAAATTTTTTTATTATTCGAATATTTTTTCGATTAGAAACTGCATGAGATTAATAAAATTTGTGCTTTTCCAACTAGAATAATTATTATAAGCAGTATTGTCACAAATTAATTAATTATTGATTACGACAAAGCAATAAAATATATTCTCGTTGTAAAAAACTGTATGCACAAAATAAATAAAATTTATTTCCTTCAACGAAAATAATTTTATTCTTGCAATATATTAAAAAGCAATTAATTCAACAAGATTATATAAAGAAATAATTCTCTGAACATTGTATTGCCCGAGTATTAATAGAAATCATTGTATATTAGTTACCTGGATTGGCGCCGTCTCTGAATTCACGAGGCAATCCACTGTAGCGTAAGAAATATTGAATGTGAGCCATCTCGTGATGCACCGTGATTAAATCCTTCATTGTGATCTTGGTGCACATTTTAATTCTGAAAAATATTAAATTCATTAGCTTATCGATCTGGTCTTTACAACTAGATAACAGTCATTTATTCATTCACAGCGTTAATATGCAAATGCGTGCAAGAATTTGCATGAAATCTTTCATCTGAGTTTTACATCTTTATCTATCATTTGTCATGAAAATGCATAATATTTGCATAAATGTCCGTAGTGTACATATTGATTAATTCACCTGTAGTCTAAACGATTGCAAAAGTCCCAAGCGGAAGCCTGGCAAATCAAAGGCCGATCTCCAGGGTCCACGATTATACTTCCGGCCCAGAATTCCGGCGGCATCGCGCTCAGGTTCAAGGACAGATAGAATTCTTCCGCGATCCTGAACATCTCAATAGGCGTGTAACCCTGAATGAATTACCAAGACAATTTTCGTTTCAATCTCTCGTTCTATCAATGCGACGATCCATGATATGCGAACCAACTATTTTGATAGATTATGATTAATTATTTTCGACGAACGTGTTCTTGCACAAGCTTATCTCGCATCACGAAATAAATTCATGTAGAAACGCAGCGTGAAAATCTACTTGAAGGTGGATCAAACGCAAGAAATCATAAGAACGATTGTTATTGAATATAGCGAAGCACAAATAAGAACCAACCGTGAAATCATAAAAAATTAAATCCGGCAGCATTTAATTCGTAGAAGAGAAGAGAATTCGATATTTTTCGTGCGTGACAGGCGATTCGAAGTTCTGAGAATCACATAACGATGGATGGAATAGAGGAAAGAGGAATCAGAGAATTCCGAATGGAAGTAGGTGAGTGAATTGTATTTCTCTTGAATCTTCATTTACCTCGCCGTCACTTTCGAATCGTAACAGGTTACTTTCGATTCTACTTGGAAACAATGGCCGTACCAGACTGAATTCATTAGCTTGTCGAAGTTAATTCTCCTGATAAGGATTATATAACGTGTAACTTTTACCTGTGCCTGCATTTCCTGCGTCACGTCTAGGTAATATTTCCCTGGATACGGTGTTGTGATGTCGATGATGTTGGTCCACGACTGCGCCCAAATGTTACCTGTTAATCAAACGAGCATCTCATGTTAATCTCAATGATAGTATTAACGTACTCGATATTTAATAAATTCTTCGACTGCAATGAAAAAAATAATCATTTAGTTTGAAATGTGAACTATAGAATAAAGTGTGCAAACGCAGAATGCTCATTTAAAAATTAAAATGAATATTTCACAACTAGAACCATTGGTCTCAAATGAATTGAAAATCATGCCAATACCAAGAATATGAGCTGGAAGAGGAGCATGAGTGCCGATCTTCTCTGGTCCATATAAATCCCTCAATTTCCTTCGAACGTACGCGTGTAACTCTTCGTAAAGAGGACGTATCATTTCCCACACTTCCTCGATGTCTTGTTGTAGATTAGGAGACTCATAGGGGAACATCCAATATTCGGCTGCATCGGTAAAATCTACACAATGATATATTTTTTTGATAATTACCAATTGTTTTAGCTAACTTCAATTCTTTCATGTTTGATGTTGTGTAAATGTAACATTACACTTTAATAAATTATTAAATTAATTAATTTAAATGATTAGATAAATTATCAATTATCTAAATATATTTTTCTTCAACTACAAGCTTTAGTGCTCACAATTTTTTAATAATGTTAAATTAAAAAATTTATTAAATATTAAATATTTATTAAATAAACAAAACTGTTGATGTAATAATTATAATTATTAATATTGTAATTAAGTTATATAAAGTGAAACTTGAATTTGAATCTTGAAATATAAACATATTTCAAGTTGAAATTTTTAGTAGAAAGATGAATTTTATATTTAAAGTTTAAATCTGCCATATCAAATATTATCATAAAATAATAATGGTACATATAATATGATAAAATATAAATTATACAAATGATATAAATTTAGTTTTGGTTTTTATACATACTGTTTAGCCTAGCTGCTTCATTGTTTAACGTAACAAGTTGTTGATAGAGATCCTTGATCCTCATTCCACTACGTCTTCTCCATTCTGCCCAAACATATTGCAATTCGTCCCAATTGCGGCTTTTTGCCATAATTTGCGATATATCTGCAAAATAACGTTATTTCGAAATAAATATTATCGTCCACGAAGTGATGAACCAGTCCTTCTATTTACAGAATCCTGCCTTTGTTGAACTAGGAATTTTCACCTCGAGCAGCTTTCACGTTGATCGTGCGATCGATTCGATTTTATGGTTTCTTGCGACACGTGTGATCTAAGTATCATGGAAAGTTGGTTGCCGCAACCGTTAAAGTTAATCTGCATACTTGTAATTTAAATAAATCTGCAGTATTCACGATATGTAAATAAATCAAAGATGGAGAAACAGACGCGTTCCTACTGATATAATAATAGAGAAGTATTGACAACAGTATTGAAGCATAGACAACATTTGAAACTCGCGAAATATAGAAAAACAGGAGCATACTCCACCTGTTTGTATAAACTTGGGTCAAAAAAAAAAAAGCTCAAATCTACTTGTGAGATACTCGAATCAATCTCTATCCAGCAGCGTCTGTGTTTACTTGGAAGTTTTCATTTCCTTAGAGATACTTATAAAACACTCCAAACTATTCTCGTCTAGATTCAAGTATACTTGCAAGTATCTTTGAAAATACTTATAAAGAAAGTTATGAAATTCAATTAAAAAATTTACTTGTGAGATATTCGATTCCACTTCTACCTAGCAATATTCAAGTTTCTATTTTTAGAGATACTTACGAAACATTCAAAACTATCTCGTCTAAATTCGAGTATACTTGCAAGTACTATTGGAAATACTTATAAAATCCAAAAATTAAAACTTCGAACGTACTAGTCACAGTAACGAGTAACGTCCGAGAATTCAAGAATCGTCCGAACCCGTGGAAAATAAACGACGATACGATTTTCACGGCTGGCAGCCGAGCGAAATTGCCACAGTGCGCGTAAACGGCCGCTGTTACGCGCAAGAAAGTGCCTCTCTAATCGTAAAGCGCGATTGAATGATGAATATTTCAACGTTCTGCGTTGAAACACGTTGCTAAAGGGATCGGAAGGAACGTCATGAAAATTCATCGCGATTTAATTCGCAGTGTCTTTCGCTCGCGATGCTCCTCTCCAATTTTCCTTTCTTCTTTCTCTTGGCTGAATTATTCGCGGTGAAGTTTTCTTAGAGCATTTTCCCTATTTCTTTAATGAGGAAGATCAATCGTGGAAGCCATTGTTATGTAGATTTCGTATCAAAAGAAAGAGTAATTTTTCAATGTAAACTGTAAGATCGTTTCTCTTTTCAGAGGATTAACAGGATTAATTTCTATTTGAGATGAAACGATCTCACAGATCGTTCCTCGAGATCTGAAAACGATTTTCTCCCGCGTTACATGATGTATTATGTTTTTCGAGCGTCTGGTTATAGTAAATGATGCCTCGTAAGCCGCGGGAGTTAATCAACGCCCAAACAGCAACGTAGAAACACGGAAGTTTGCGATCGTCTGATCGTGCGATTCTGCTTGCTTCACGGTTCATTTACTCGATCGAGATTCACTTGGTAATAACGTACACGTAACACGCATGGAAACATACGTAACAGTTCTTTGTCGACGATTTCATTGGCATTAGCGTTTTGCGATCTGGTCATTGGTCATAGAAAACGATTTTCTAATCGGTTTTTGAAAACGATTTCTCGTGGAAAATTACTGGCTTAAGCACGCGCTTCCGTTAGAAGAAAACTGAAACTTGTGAATAAGATCGCGTTCAGAGGTACTAATGTCGAAATTGTACTTAAGGTTACACCGAAGTTGCATAGTTTTAAATTTGTAAATTTTAGAATGCAGATGTATTAATATTATTACGAATTTATTAACTTAGAACTACATGGTTCAGAATTCTGAATTTTCTAGTATTCTGGAATTCATAATTTATAAGAAAACATTCAGAATTCTTAAACATGCATATTTGTAGAGAACATATATATATTATCCGAAATTTTGCTGTTGATATTTAAACTGTGTTAAGAAAAATTATAGAACAATTATCCAGGGCTAATTTTATTTTTGCAATGCATCGTTGATATTTTTCTGAAATGTTCTCGCATCATGTAACAAATGGGAATGTAAAAATACTTTCTTGCCAAAAATACTTTAACTTCCACAATGTGTAAAAGTATTTAACAAATTTTTTTCACAGCAGGAAAGAATATTTTTTCTGTTATGGATTTAAAAATTGAAACTTTCTCTTTACAGTGTCTTTTTAATGTACGTTTTGTCTGTTGTACATGCGAAATATAGAATACTCATGAGGTACAAATTTGGCTTGGTAATTTAATAATATATTCAACACTACAACAATCGGGGTTTCAAAATATTCTTACTATAAATCATTATAATTTCAACGATAATAATTAAAATAAATAGACTTCCACATTGTGTCTCTAAACAGAAATCAATATTAATTTTGACAGAAAAAATCCTTATCTTTTAAGCAATTGTAAAGAAAGAATATCTAAAATTTATTAAAATATTAACGAGTTTAGTTGCTCTAGCATTAATAACATGTAATTATATGAAATATCGGATTAATATCGTGAGTAGATACCCGTTCTAGGACCCGAAAACAGTTTGAATCCTAAAATGAATACATTGTGCAATAAGTACAATATTCGTAAAAGTATTTTTACTTTCTAGTATCATTATCTATGAATTGCGTAACTTTGATATCGAACTTGACTCGAATCAAGTCTATATACTGGACTTGATCCAATTCTTAGTTATTCATTACCTGGATAGAGCCGCAGCCCGCACCGGAAGGGATCGTTGTACGCGCAAATACTGGCATCGTTGTACACCGCCAGCATGTCGTTGATCACGCTATTGTACTGAAAGAAAGGAAGAAAAGGACATGAAGAAAGGAACGATAGAAGAAAAGAGGCATTAGAGAGAAAACTTTATTGACCGTGTCGTTAAGAAGCGAAAGAAAAGAAAAAATGCAAGATACAGGAGGCGTTGTTTCCTGCATCTCGTTCGATAGACCGTCTCGTAGCCTGTTTTTTTGTCACGTCTTGTTTCCGTAATCATTTATCATAGAAAATGAAGCCTGTTACCGACAGATACTTCCTGTCTCTTTGAGCGTGCTTGTTACGCGACGAACGAAAGTGCGTGATAGAATAGATTCGCTTGATTTTCGTTTTATTGCCTTAGGTTTCCTTCCTCGCAAAATGGCAGGCCAGCCTTCTTTTAATGTTAATCGAATCGATTACAGGAGAGAAACTGTTTTACCTTTCGCGTGGTGTTCGTGTTTCAAATGTGGCAAGTTAGTTAACAGAATGGAGTTATATCAGGTAACATAATCTCATTAACCCTTTTACGTTTGTTTTGTATATGGAACATTGTGTTTTAATAAGTTGCTACGTAAATGTGTTAATTGAATAACTCCAGTGTGTATTATGTAAATGGTGAATGTGTTTATTTGAAGCAAAACTAGCTTTAAATTACTAATTAATAAAAAAAGAAAAACAGTTTTTTAGGATCAACAGAGGATTCATTTAGCTCTGAAAGGATCAGTAACACGTATTATAGTAATTATTTACCCTGTCCAATTGATCCGGTGGAAGAGCAGATGGTCCAACCACAGATAAATATCTGAGACGTCTTCTGATCACAGGATCCCTAATGTTATCTTTGTCGATCCTCGAAATCCAGAACCAGGCCTGATTTTGAAAGTCTGCGTATATCCTCTGAGCTTCCAGCTGAAAAAAGAAAATATTTCTATCTCACTGAACATCATTTACAATTATACAATATATAATTTTTCGTAAGTTTAATTAAATTAATCGTAAATTCTTTTAATATCCATTTCTATTTGTTAACAGACGCGGTTTGTGTCAGAATGTGCAAGTCTTGTGTCGGAAAGCAAGGTAGTAATCAGCTCGAAGGTGATCGTCCGTGCGGAACTGGTACGAAGTGCAAATCAACCAACACCGTATTTACTGTTAGAGATAAACGTCGCTATCTTTACCCTTCCTGGGATTAGAGATAGAGAAAGACGACGAATAAGAGGGAAATGCTCGAGAAAGTGTGCACGGGTTTCTTTATGGGTCACTGGGAGCCGTTCAGATATCGTGGAGGAACTCGAAATGAAAAGTAAAAGAGCGCCTCGTTTCCTTTTCACTTTAAATGTATCGAGAGAAGCGAGGAAAATTCTACGGAGTTTCAATCAACGTAGCGAATGAAACTGAAGAAATAGAACCTAAATAGAGTTTTATTTTATATTCGAGAGAAATTACGACTGGACTGTGTAATATTCATGCGTTTGTGGGAAATTAAAAAGATGCAAAAATCTATAGAATGCAAGATATAAAATATATTATATTTTTATTTTCATCTTATATTTTATACTTCATATTTTAAGACTCATACATAACGCTGAATAAAAATTTTTTTCCCTTCTGTAGAAAATTCCCAAAATCTCTCACATATAAGTTTGATATTCGAACTTTATTTAAGATTTGATTATTGCCTGATTGAACATCTGTCTGTGCATAAGAGAAGATTGATTATCCGTTCACGTAAGAATTTACGTGATAACTCGAAGTTTATGAATGCTTAGAGTTAGTAAGTGAAATAAACCTTTGCCTAATCTTTTCAATTATAATCATAAAAATCTGTACCTAAGCATGAAACAAACACTTGATTCTGAATATTTTACAAATTCTATTCTGTATATTTCCAAACACTTAAATTTCCCACAAATGCATTAAAGTCCCCAAGCTAATGATAGAGGCGTATTATCATTGAGCAACGTCGAAGAATGCCACGCACGTGTCTCACAGCAGTTCGCATGCTGGCGATAGACGAGTTTCCCTAAGTTTCTAAGAATAACAAAAAATAATATGAAGAAACGAGGCACGGATAACCAGCGATTATCATTACCATCACGCGACTGCCTAGTGAATTTCGCGTTGAAGGCTGAAGATTTCCGTTCTCGGTTCGTTCGGACTGATGTACCATTGCGAAATCATTCGAGACACACCGATGGTACAATGGAATCGGTTGGGAACATTTCCCGCGGAGGTTTTTAGCCTTTCGGCAGACAATAAAGGCCGGCCATCGTCGAGGAAAACCTTGCATACACGAGGCGAAATCGCGATTCACCGCGATGACGTTCCACGGTCTCACGAGTCGAATCGTAGAGCAGGTCGAGGTCTTAGCGCCATCGAGAAACGTCGAACACTTGTCCAGAATTAAATATTACACATCCAGACTCACGAAAGTATTTTTATGAATCTACTGCTACGTGTCTTGTGCGAGACATTTCGAGAAATTTTATTAGCACTGTTGTGAAATTCGAGTGTTACAATTATAGCTTACGATTAGTCTAAAGTCTGACAATTGGGCCATTTATTTTGAAAATGGTGGCAACTCCATTTTTCAACGAAATTTCGATTGATTGAAACAAATGAATATTTTGAAATTTAAATTATATGTAATAGTTGAGTTTTCACAATTTTTGCACTTAAAATATATCCCATCTTTTCAATTTAAAATAACTTATACGTAAAGTTTTCTTCTATGAACAGTTCTCCTGTTCATCTATATTATAAAATATCCCTTGAAACGTGGAAACTTGAAGTGTCGGAGTTAAATAGTTTGTTGCTTTAATTAAGCCGTAGTTTGATGGCGAGACTGATTGTTAGACTGGTTGAAATTCAAGGTCGACTGCATTAACTCGAACAGAATTCATGGTCATAAGTCAATGACATTAATGAGCAACGAAAACGTCAACTAATAAGAAATCTGTGTAATCGTCTTTTTTCTACGGTACTTTCACCAGGCCTAAAAAAAGTCTTATCGTATGCGGGTATTTCGGCCACGAATTCGTAGAAATTGTCATTCAAATTATAATACATGCTGGTGGATAATTTGTATTTACCGCCTGCAGCTGCGTGTACTCGTTCACGTCCGTTTCGTAAGCCCACTGTCCTGCCACATTGGCACTGCATCTTTCGGTACCAAGGAAATCTAATCTGGCTAAAACATCTTGTAACTGCGCTTCTGTGGGTGGAAATCGTCTCCCAAAATTGTTACGAGAATCTTCGTTTAGAGGGGGTAGATCTAGCTGGCCGGAGACCAGGCAGAGTAAACCGAAAAGGATCCAAGCGAACATTATCTGAAAAAGAATTGTAATAATTAACAAGATTAGAAGCACTGTCGATGAGAAACTGCTTGTAATGTAAACTGTTATCAATCACTATTGCATCGATAATAAGTATTTATGGCATCATATTGAAACCATGTTGCTATTAATAGATATTATAAGATCGACAAATATCGACAAATATGGTTAAAATATCGAGGATAATAAACTTCGATAAAGCTCTCAGTTTTGTGGAACTTAATCATTATTTAGTTCCACATTATTTCAAGTAAATAATTACTATCGAAGAAATGTTTTTAGGAGAATGAAAACAAAACTATAGAGTTTTTCAGTTCCATAAAATATGATTACTATTTAGCTCTATGTTTTTTCCACAGCAGTTGTTGTCGAAGGATTTTTTCCTTTACTATTTTTAGAAAACTTCAAGAAATCGCGAACGATAACATTGAATGTAAATGAAATTATCCGTGGCTCAATGATAATAAGGACGTGAGTCAGTTTAACGAGAACCATTGGATATTATATTGTTTTCATAAATAATGCCACAAGCTGAATTACGAGCGGAGCGTTTACGTGCAATTCATTTGTTTACTTCACGGTCACGTGTTACGTCTTCGCGTTACGTAGTTCCTTTCAACATGAAAGGCTATTCATGCAGAGTAGTGGGTCATCTACGATCGCACGATCCTGTGACCTTGAACGTTCGATACTCGAGCACGATCACGCGGCCCGATTAATCGACACGTGAGAAACTCGCTGCATCTTACTCATAGAGAGGATTTTTTATTTAACAATCTCCACCTCATTCACTCGATATTGATGCACTACTATCTCTGTAAAAAAAAAAAAGAAAATAAAAGCCTCGAGAAACTTCCATTATGCTCTCTTGAAAATGGAAATATTTTTTCCAATATCGTCCAGAGGAAATATCAAATATGTTCCAAGAATCACACACTTTTGCCACCGAATCGAAGAAACTCGAGAAATTTGTCAATCGAAACCGAAGCAAAGATACTCTAATTCATTCACCTAACCCTTCAATCTCACGCACTTTTTCGACAGTAAAAAAAAAAAAAAAAAAACTCGCAGAACTATCCAATTAACGGGTTCACCGAACCATACGACGAATACCCTCTAAATTTCTACCCCATTCACGTCGAGCACTTTCACTCTCATTACGAGAGACCCTCTTCGTCCTCCGAGCGTTCTCCAATTCTTTCTGTGGAGAGTCGATCGACGCAGTTCAAAGAGGGAGAGACTTACGAGTCCTTTTGTCCCCCGATGATCGAGCGTCGCCTCTCCGTTGGGACGCCGTTCGATCTTGGATCGAGCAGCAGGCATACGGATCTCGCGGCTGTGAACGATGCACGATGAGACGCGACAACGATTGTTGACGAGCGGCCGTTTCGTTCTGGCGTCGCTAAAAGCCTCGTGGCCGATGCCAAGTGTACATTTATCCCTGCGAAGCAGTTCGAACGCAACCACAGGGAGGTCATCCGTAGCGAGAGGTGGGGATCCGCGTGTACACCTCGGTGTCGTCGTCGCGTCGGCGACGTCTCGAGTCGTGGACAAGCGTGGGATTCAATGTTAGGAAGATGGAAAAAAGAGAGGGTCAACCTCTCTGGCAAGTTGGTTAAGAGTGTAAATTGGATAGTCGACGACGTATGATCCTGATCTTGGTGGATCGCGAGAGGGTGAATCAACCCCTTGAGTCACAATTGAATCCCATTGAAAGGTTGTGATTAAGTTGTTCTGCAAAATTTCCTCCTGAAAAATTGTAATGGACGTTAAATAAAAACGTACAATTTCAAGGGGAAAAAATATAGAAAATTACGAAAATTTTCAGTGTAACCTGAGAAATTATACTTATATTTTTAGCAAAGACTAAGCCGAAGCTTAATTTGTTTGTTGAAACTAAAATTATAATGTTTTTGCAAGTAGCAAGATTTTATGATACCAATGAACATCTATTTCTTACTTCACGTGTATGAAAAAAAAGGAGGGCAAAAAATTCAAAAAAGATGGAATATAGCACACGCCAATTGAAAAATCATTGATCTGTATGATCTGTGGATCAAATAATTCAGAGTTTTTACCGCGCTTTTTTGCTCTACATGACGTGATGTCTTCTGTGAATGCATAATAATAATGCATTTCTTGTTTCATCTATATTACTGTTATTTTTCACTTCGTACCAACCTTCATTGATGATCTCATGTTTTTCAAGAAACCGCGATAGTTTATCACCACTATCAAAAAAAGGTAACAGTCACGTGAAATGAGGTGAAATTCGAAGGAAATAGAGGAATGTTGCTGGAAGAAAACAGGTCAGCGAGAAGGTTATGGAATCGAGGGCCAACCTGCTGGTGGATTGCGAAAGCTCGAAGCTCTCACGTTGACAACCGTTGTACACGTCGACGACCCCTCTCAATGAGTCTCATTGTTTTCGAGTTGAGTATGTCTGTTTTGCATCTCACAACTGTTTTCCATTTATTTTTTAATTCTATTCAAACCAATAGTTCAATTACACATTTTCAAAGGACAACCTTGAAGTCGAGCAACTTCACTAATTGATCGCCAGCGATTTTAATGATGCCTCTGGGGAATAAAGTTTCTTAGGGTGAAGATTCAGTTGTGACGAAAGGTGGTCCAATTTTTGATTGATTAATCAAAATTGAGATGGATGGACGATAGATCGGAACTTTGTAGATGATAGACAACTGATAGAACAATAGATATTATCTTCGATAAGATTAGGGTGCGTTTGAAGCACAGTGAGAAGAATTGTTATATAGAAATATATTCTTTTATCTAATGCTCCAAATTCTTATATTTAAATCATGAAGCTTCACTAATAAATAGATTGCAGATATTTTTATAAACACAATTAAATAAATGAAACCCAATGAATATTTATGAAGTGTACAATACGTCAAAACAAAAACGAAAAATGGATATAATATCTAATAGATTCGTCATTGCACATTTCGCCTAAATACCTACTTTACTTTGGATATTCCACATAAATGGATAAATGTATTTATTATGTTACTGAATGAATTTACTCTTCCTTTCATTCTTCATACTCTGCTTCATGAAAGTATAATAATCAATACAATGACACCATCTAACATCTTTAATGCAAAGAATATTCAGAATTAAAAAAAGTCGAAAAAACGTTACCGACTTGCTTTAAAAGGAATAATATAATTTGCATATGAAACATCGTCGAATTCCCCGAAGAGGTAAAAAAAAAAAAAAAAAAAATGACTCGATTTAACAGGATGATTCACCCGTAGCCGGTGTGGCTAATTAAATAATTATCTTTGAATCTCATCGATGCTGTTTCCTGCTTCGATGCTACCTGTGCTTTCCTGAGAATTCATGTGCGCCATTGTGTCACCACTGCATCAGCCTTTAATTGAAACAGTGATTCATAATTTTGCAAGTTTTAATAACGCCGCGCGGCCGTGGGAAGGCGGCGGGGTTGAAATTGCACGTTTAATACTCATTGTTCGACAATCGGGTTTTCGACTCGCAATTAATCGCAATCTTCCGTCATTTCTGCCTTTTTCAACCGGGCGATGATTCAGAATTTTAATACCGTTTCACTTTGAAGGATTAATAACTAGAAGCTATGAATTGAAATCAACTCAGCTATAGTCGTCTCTAGATCGCTCATAAAGATTGCAGTTTCTCACAGTTTTAGCAATAATCCATTGCAATTTAAGTGAAATTGTGTAATTGTGTACTTTAAAATTCTGTTACTGGTATTATTAAAAATTTCGTTAGTGTTATCAAAGAGTGAATATTCGTGCAGACTTACGTTTAAAATTTGCATATCTACGTGTCAGAAAAATTGAAACTTTTTAATTAGGATGGAGTTTAAGCGTGACAAGTATTCTACATTGGGTGTATTGTACACGCGGGACATATGAGAAAAGTATGATATAATTTATCTAACTTTCACATCGTACGGTGATTAAGAAGAAGTATTTTAACATAAAGTAATTGAAGAAGGAAGTACTCCGATAAATTTAAAGATATGAATCTCTAAATTTTCCACAAACGCGTAAAAAGCCGCAGCAATTAACTACTGACAACTATCTTCCTGTAGTTAACTGTTTTCCAATTCCCACTGCGATTTGTAATTTTACAGGCAAAGTGATAAGACGGCGGACCGTGGGAAAGAATGCAGGGAAAATAGGTGATTAGTATTCATTGCGAGCACTTGTTCAAGGCAATTGCCGTGCATTTGTTTTCATCGATCGAGGAACAAATCGTGAACGTGCGTGACGCACGTCGACTTGACAGAGACTAAACTCATTGATCGGCAAGAAACAGCCGTAAACAGCCGCACCCTACCGAGGATTACGAAGACAGTCTCGCGATGATGATGGAACTGTGCACAGGGTGTCTCAGTGATTATGCATATTCAACCGGATATGAGTCAAATATACATGAAGAACATGACTGTGTCACTACCAATAAAAAATTGTCGATTTTTTTAAGGTGTCACAATATCGTAAAAGACAATTGTATAACGATCCATTTAGTCTAATTTTAAAGCGTGAAGCTTCTACTTTAACGTTCTTTTCAAAGATGTTTTTACATTATGTAGAAATTTAAAAGTTCGTAAAATTTAAAAATTGTAAAAATCCGAACGTTCGTTGAAAACATTGAAAAATTTCTTTTCGTGATTAGATCCTCGATGATCTTGAGGATTGAAATTTTCTCTTTCGAGAAATAATTTCTGAAAACTTACAATAGGATTCTTTCTCACCATTTATTGTTAATATTAATTAAATGACGAAAAAGACCTACAGCAAGTTTTAAGATGTCGTTGTAAAGAGAAAACCTCAAATTTTCAGAAGATTTTTTGTAGATTTTTGAAGACCAGTTGTGGACTTTTTAACGTTTTTAGAGAAGTTTGAATTTTTACAATTTTCGAGAATAAAAGTATTGTATTTACATATAAGACTATTATTATTATTTTATGATTTTTCCTTACAAGTTATAACAATTTAAAGTATCGAGAATTTTTCATCGTTAGTGGTACAATTATTCGCTATGCTTAACAAATTCAAATTCGACTTTTTTTAAAAAAATTTTATTTTACACTTCCGCTTTATTCTTTTTTCAATTACCTTCTAGCTGATTACGCGACAAATATCAAAACACCCTGTATATATACGTGACTGAATCTATCGGTAAGTCAGACCTTGAGTCAGTATGGTGAAGCTCTGTTGTTCTTGCATACATTTTATTATACATAATGAGCCACCTGTTTGCATAATACGTGAATGATCACTTTACATTCAACGAAAATCACAATACAAAATCGATAATTTTCGTTTCTCCCAGATATTCCTGCAAACTTCCCAAAAGTATAGTCTATGATTCTAAATGAGTTCATCAATCCTTTTTCTGGAGAAAAGTTCCATTTCAAGATCTCGCGTATTTTTCGTAGAACTGGAAATTACGTATCAGACGCACGTAACTAATTACTAGGGTCTCCTTACCGGCGAAATTGAATTAACATGTAGAAGGACACGCGAATTCAGGTTTCAATGCCGTCAGCCAGCACGCGCCACAAGCGGTAACGCAATCGCGGCGCAGGTGATTTCTACTTTAAAAGCGCGCCTCATGCTCTCCCAACAAGCAACTTCGACAATGCTAATCCTGTCAAGAGATAATGGGTGCACCGGTCCCACGTACTGGCCGCAATTCTGGGTTCAAGTACGAAAACGTTTACGAGAGGCAGCCGTGCGTTTCTTCGGCCTTTTTGTCGACAGCTGATAAATCATCGTGTTCATTGTTTCTTTCAAGCTAGAGGATGCTGTACAGCTCGAATTTTTATAGGAACTCGCGAAACGTTTGAGTTTATAGAAATTTTTTCCTAAATATATTTAGATTGGTCTTGAATTTTACTTATACAATCATGAGAATTGTTACGCGAATTCTTATGCAAATTCATATTTTTGTATATACAATATACAACTTTGATGGAAAATGCAGATTGCGGAAAGTACTATAGTTTGAATTTTTTTCTTCTAGTGTGCATTATGTACATTTTTGCATTTTGAAATGCACAGAAGTCCGCAGTCTGCTTACTTCAGTGCTGATAAAATTTGAAAATAATGATAGAATATAATTTTCAAAGAGAAAAGACATGAGGATTTAAGACACGCAGGAGGAGAATACACTAACTGTGAGTATATGTCGATTTATCCCTGCTACTAACAGTGAGTATATGTCGATTTATCCCTGCTTGCTTCTCCCTTCGCTAATAATCACTTGCATGTATTAGCAAGGCAAATGGAGGATGATTTAATGCAACAAGAAGGAATCGCAAGATTAATTGACATCCTAAGGTTCTTAATTTAAATACAAGATATTTAAATACAAGGCGCGTGATTTAACGAGGAAAAACAAAGGAAAAATCGAACGAACTGTCGAATTGTATTATCCACGCTCGTCAAGAGTAACGTAACACGTCGTGGCTTGATACACCGAGAAAAGATACGTACGAGCGATTAAGTAAGAGGAACTCGTTTAAAGTGGATTTAAAGTGGAATTGCATAAGCGTTCTGCACCAACAATTTGTGCCGAAGAAAGTAAATCTGTGTGATATTTCCTCGACATCACGTTTTACTACACTTTCACTAAATCCTTTTAAACATTATTCCTGACGTTCACATATTCTGATATACGCACGATTGCGAATCTTGGTATATCTTTCATGCAAACTGACAATAGTCTCGTAATGTGGCAGATGACGGCGATTGTCAGAGTTACTACAAGACAGCCGATGAAACGTGGGAAAACAGTGATACGTGTTACCGGTATTACGTGAGCACGCTCAAGAATTATTCAAAATGCAACGTTACGACGACGGCAAGGCCGATCGGCTAAATGATTGAATCCTTTTCATCGATCGGCTCGTCACACTTCTAGGTGAAGGTTAGCAACGTGTTACGACGGGAAAGGGAATCGGAAAACAGCGAGTCAGGTGTAAAAACCGTCACGAAATGTTTAAAATGCTTGTCACTCGGAAGACAAAATCGTCTAATTTTATGGATGAAAGTTAATCGCAAAAAGAAACGGAATCGGGAATCTTATTAAATGATAACTATTGAAATTTATCTTGAATTCACATAGGTCATGTTGATCAATTCCATGAACTGAAAAGCACAGAGAAATGATATTGTAAGCACCATTTTCGAAATTTATCTTTACTCAATACAAACAAACTTTTGGAAATATGCAAATTTTTGTTTCTCGACAACTGAATATTGATCCTGTATTTATGTAAAGAAGTAAAGAACTTGATAAAAAAGTGGAGTCGATTGGTTTAGCTTCCGAAAGATTCACATGTGAGTTCCTTATTCATTTAGTGGTTTTGACAATTTCCTGGCAACTTCTAAAATTAATCTCACCTTCTGTATCCTAATATTTATGAACAGGAGTGTGAACATGACGGAGCGGGAAAAAAATCTCAAGGCAATCATCCTGATTGCATTTTTGTTGCTGCTTGAAATTTAAATGAGAAACACCACATTTACCTTTGCATGAATACGACGCTATGACAGAGACAATTATTCCTTCTGGACACTGTTTCACAACCGAATCGTAACACGAGACTGACAAACAATTTAATGACTATTCTCGTTGACGCTCGAAGAAAAATATCGAACAATGTTTCTACTTCTATCGTACCTTCGTCCAGGTTATTTCAAATCGAGTGTTGGATCCATTTAACAATTTCTAGTTATTTTACGCTGTATAAAACAGAAGCGAAAATTATTGTTGAACAATGTGAAATTTTCTTCTGTTAATTTCACTGTGAGGAGCATCGACAGTGTGAACCGGAAACGAGGGGCACGTGACACATCTTTGCAATTTCATGTATCGTGCAACGATAACTTCCACTGTATTGCACAGTCATTAACGCGATTGCGCATTGTACGCTCGGAATGCCTCGACGATTAAGCAATTTAGAGTTTTCCTTTTTCCCTGTGCGAGATTTTTTTCAATTGTCAATATTGGAAATATTGAAAAAGTAGCTTATGAAAAGCTTCTCGATTGGATTAACAAGTTGCAGTAAATTTTTAATATCATAATAAATTAAGAGAAAAAAATGAAATTACGATATGAATCACAGATCACTATTAGAGTTGTTGTTGATCTGACACTGACGTAAACGCAATTAGAATAATTATTGATTGTCGATACGATCGGCAGAAGAGGAAGAAGCGTCTCAACTATAATATGCATAAGAGAAACATTGCACAAGAACTGAATCATAAAAAAACTATAGTAAAAAATACGAAGAAAACAGGAAGTCGCTGACATTTCATTGAAATCTGTACTCTTTTCTTTTATTGTTTAATAATAATCATTGTCACCAAAACTGTACTTACAATTGAAACTGGAAGACTTGTATGTTCTCACTTCAATATAGATTTACACGGTTCTATAGAATCTCTTCCTGTCCATACATTTTTCTTTCTTTGTTAGAGATTGTTTCCGATGTAGGTGGTTCTATTTCTGACGTACGAATTACAATAGAATAGCACGTTTCCAAATGACGATTATCCAAGCTATCTGCAACAAGGATACCGATTCCTTGATTATTTGATTCTTGATTACGTGGCAATTAGAAATTCTTCTGCGTAGTGATATGGAAACAATTTTCCCGGAGCAACTGAATATGAGTGCAATTATGTCATTATTGGATGCATAACAAATGAACCACCACCACCACGAGCATAATAATAAAAATATAAATACGTAGCTATTAACTATAATTACCCGTAGATCTTAATTTTGTGGTTTATAAATTGTTACTTATATTTCAATCTTATGCACGGTTTAGCAGAAATAGAGAAATTGTTAAATTTATAATGTTTTAATATAGAATTTAATCTGGAAATCATATGTAACTAACTTTTTCATATTTCGTACCACTTAGGATTTTCACCTTTATAATATTTGCTGATATAGTAAATTTTATATAACTTTTACGTATTTTTACATATTTCTTATATAAAAACAGAAATATTTTTCTTTTTCGAAAAAATAGTATTTTATAAAATATTTCATAGAGACATTTCATAAAGTGGAATAATAAAATTAAAAAAAAATTATAGCACAATGAAAAAGTAGAATAATAAAATTAAAAAAAGCTCCTTCTTTTTGACACAATTTCTTAAATTTCTTAAAAAAATTAAATTGAAAATATTTTTTAATATTAAAGAAAATGTCTGAAAAAACGCAGCTGGATTAATCTAGCATAGAGTTAAATTGAAAAAGTCTCATTAAGAAGAATAATCACAAGATTTTTAATTAATTTATCTGAATTACGATTTTAATTTGATTCACTGCGAGTTAATCATACGACAATCGGTGTCGTCACTTTTTCCCGCGCCTAGAATTAAATACGTAACTATGGCGTATTGTGAACGACTGAGAAGGACATTTTAGAATAATTAACAAGGTCATAATTTCTTAATTTGTCATGAGACTCCAAGAGTTTTAAATCGAATGGCTTTCACTGATTTTTGGACATTTGTATTTTTGAAGATTCAGAAGTACTCTTAATCCTTAGTAATCTCATAAAAAATGAAATAACTTACTTATAATAAAAAATTACTTTCTCGAATTCCAAGAAATCGTAGATCTTCGTTTACCGATCATGATTCGTTACATGAAATCATGTTATTGCACTAAGAAGTTTCACTTAGAGCTGCACGTGACATCGGAAGAACGTGAAACACTTTCCACGTGAAAAATGTTATTTATTTGTCGATGAATTATTAAATTATTGTTTGACGAATTATTAAACTCTGTAAAAAGTAATTTTAACAAAACTATTTTCCAAAATTTTCGTAAGTTACAATTTTGTGAATGATTTTTATAGATATTTTAAGATTATAATTCAAAAATAAAAGAACAAAAGTCTCACAAAGGTATTTCTCTACATTGCAAGCATTTCTTACTGTGAAAAAGTTTATTAATAAATTAAGAAAATAGTACATCTTAGAAAAATCACTTATTATACCAGCTCCTATTATACCAACTGTTGGTCTTAAATAATTCAATATTGAAATCGGAAATCACATATATTTAATATAATTTCAATTCGCGAATTATTCGTTTGCGTAAAAACTACGTTAACTACAATTAACTTATATTTCAATTTTCATTTCGATAATTAACGCATAAAAAATTCTACTGGTGTTATGTAGTATTATCTACGAATGGTAAGTTGCATGCTTTCAGTTCCTCCAATATAAACGAAAAATAATTTAACAAATTTTACATCTTTACTGTATATTTTACTCCCACTAGTTCATTACAATAAATATGATGATTTATATAGTTTTTATAAGCTGAAACTACATTTTGATTTTCATAATAGTTTTTACTACTATAATTTCATAGTTCACTATTTATAAAATTTGAATTTTATAATTATATGTAATTTTATATTTTATAATTATAAATTTTCCGTCATGATATGTGGTCTAAAGTTGTCATAATTCATTAATCGAGGAAGTTTTCTCGACGTACAATGTTTCGAATTTACGCGCGGTTTTAAATAAAAAAGAAACTATTCTGCATCAGCCAATAAGAATGTAGCGTGGCGATTTTTGGCGCTAGACGTCAGCTATATGTCGAAAAATATATCTTTTTTTTCATTTGGTATGTGATTTCTATTTCGTGATATTTCTACTACTATGCTATTATTTTTGTAGAATACTAGAATAGGTTCGTATATCTAATATGTTTTTATTTAATTCTTCGTCATTATTATGAATATTTTCTTAACTCTTGTCGTTTGTTCGTCTACTGTTTATTTCGTAATCAGAGTTACCAATAGGTTATATTATAAGCTTCTGAGATAAAATTTGAACATACTTATTATTTTATTCTAACATAATTATAGTCATAAACATAATCATATCTAACATAAATAGTGTTAGCTTCATACATTAATCTTAAATCTTAGTTTAATTTTTGCACAGGTTATTGGCTGATTGCGGAAATCAATCGAAGAAATAAGGCATTGGACTTTTTTCATCCGTGAGTAGTAACATTTCAATGTTTACGTTTTATTAACTATGTATTACTTAATAATTAACATGTAGTATAGAAATGTATTACCTCTTGTGTCTTTCTGTACATGTCTGCAATTTAAATCAAATTTGATTCCTCACTTGACACTTCAAATTGCGAGACACAGAAAATCACTACACATCCAGTACCTTGTCTGTGACGTCAGGTTTGTCCTTTGTTTCGTCGATAACTGTAGTAATTCGTTTACGCTCCTAACTTTACCGACTTCGCCGTTTACTAAATACTTAGTCACTAAAGAAACATTCTAACATAGACGAGGTCATGACTTGCTGCATGATGTAAAAATAAATATCTTTAAATGAACTAAACTTAAGATTGTTAAAGTGGAGACTTCATTCTTTAAAATAAAATCAATTTAATTGTTCTACAATTTATTTTTCACGAAGCTGTAACAGATTAAAATATTATACAATTTTTCATCTAGTATATAAATATTTTCATTTTTTCTGAAGAAATTCCCTGAATTTTGTGTATTTGATTTAGACCAGAGTTTTTTATTTTTTATTTTAACAATAAATTAACATTACGTGAAATGCGCGCGTATTTATAAATTAATTAAAGATTACAGCGTCAACAGTGGAATATGCAATATACTTCCTACGATTCTCGAATATATCGATATTTCACACGATCGATTTTAAAGCGTAAAGAATGGCGGAAGGAAGCACACATCGTCTGTAAAGAAAAAAGTATTATCCAGTGTTATAAAAAAGTATCATTCAAAAATTCTTAGGTAAAAATTTAAATCAATAATTGTTAGATTTATATTTGTGTTTTGAATTTTTGAGATAAAATATGCATATTTGGCTTCAACTCAAGGTAAGATTTAACCAAATAATTATTATATATAGTTTTCAACAATTAAAGAAATAATAGCACATAAACCTTTAAACAGAACATACTATGTTAAATGTTATTTATAATTTTATACCAAAATTTAATATCAATTCTAACCTGTACAAATATTGTGATCTTGTAATATGACTACTTTTTTATTATGTATGTAACATACTTCTATTTCTATTGCAACATTTTCTATTAATTTGTCGACTCTTTAACCTCATACTGCACAATTTCAATACTAAATTCAACAATAATTTATTGAGGATGTACGTATTTAATGGCTAAAATAGTAATTTTACTTAATATGTAATATAATAAAATTTCTTATATCTTAGTAAAGTATTGACAATTTTTCATCAAGTGTGTGAATATATTCGTTCTTTTTGAAGAATATCTTATGAATTTTGTATTTGATTTAGACCCTTTTTTTATTTTTTATTCCAAGTTATCATTTCATGTGAAATGCGTGATTACAGCGCCACAACGGTGAAATATGGAATATACTTCCTACAATTCTCAAATCATGATCGATATTTCTCACGATCGATTTTTAAACGGGAAACATGGCGGAAAGGAGCACGTCTCATCTGTGAACAAGAAAGTTTTATTTAGAAGAATCATCAGAAAGAAGTAT